GTTGAGTTTATACAACAATGATAATGCCACGTTATACAGGTTGATTATGTAAGCATAAATTGAGAATTTTGAAATAAAAGTAGTTAAATGAAGAAGTATAAAGTTGTTAATTTAACATAGAGTGTTTCCAAGCTTCTTCAACTCATTGATATAATAATAATTGCATATTTCAGAGTTTTGAAATTTAGTTTTTTGAAATTTTTCAAAAAGTCAATGTCATAAATTTTAATATTACTGTAAAATTAAATATTTAAAAAATTTCAAATTTTAATTTTATAATTGTCAAAATAATACCATTCAGTTCAAGAAAACATATATAAATGATCTTAAATACAATATCCAACCCTCAAATATCTGAAATTAATTGTTTGATGGTCTATTTTGGTCAAAATTTAAATTAATGGATTTGAGTGTGCTCTTACCAATATTCGACTATATGAACAGCATAATATTTAAACTATTTTTACCTTGTTTTTTTCTTAGAAATTGTCTATTGGGCTAGTTTGATTGATGATATATATCATAGTATATTTCATAATGTATATCTTAAGTCGAAAATTAATTCACATATAGGATGTGTACTTTGTAAATATTTCCGAAGTACAATTGAATTGTTTCCTACAGCTGCTCTACAAAGCTTAAAAGTTATCAACAAATCTATAATTTCATATACTTATATTACAATACATTAAATTTAAACTCAAAAAAGAAAACCAAAACAGCATAGCAAAGCAAAAATTTATCAAATCACTTTATTGAACAACTTGAACCCAAAATATTAATTTTTCCACAATTGGATCAGAATCTTGACTTCTTAATCTACTTTCTTCATTAATTATAGGATCCACAATAACATCAAAAACAACATGATTCAACCCTGTTGCTAATTTTAATTCATATTTTGAACTTATTTGTCTTCCTTGGTCCATATATTGAATTGATGGAATTGGATTCACACGTTCACCATTAACTGTTAAATTTGCTTGATGTTTTCTATCAATTAATGAATCATTTAATGATGCAAGGACAGAAACTGCACCTTGTTGTGATGGTAATGATAATGTATAACTTTTAATTTGGAAATCATTTGCCTCAAATCTATATTCAAACCAATTTTGATATAAATTTGGTAATTGATTTATTGAAGATAATTGATTTTTAATTGTAGATTTATAAATTGATCTTGATGAAGAAATTGAAATTTCTTGAATTAATGCATCTGCAGCAGTTTGTTTTATTGATCTTTTACGTGTTGGTTTAACAATCTGTGGAGTTGGAGTTGATTGTTCTGGATTTTCAATTTTTTCTTCATTATCTTGAGTTTTGTTACCATCTTTAAAAGTTTCAGGTAAATCTTCTTCTTCTTCAGTTGGATCATCATTTAATCCATCTTTATTTGCTTCATCATTTGGTTCTTCATCAAATTTTGGTTGTTCATCATCATTAATTTGTTGTTCTTCATCATCATCTTCTTTTTTCAATGAAATTTTTAATTTTGATTTTATAGATGGTTTATTATTTTTCAATTTAACAATTGTTGGTTTCTTTTTAGAACTACCACTACTAGATTTCAATTCATCTTGATATTTTTTCCAATCATCAATTTTTTCTTGGAAAATTTTTTGTAATGTTTTAGAATCTTCATAAATTAAACTACCTTCTTCATTATAAAGTTGAGCATTTGACCAAATCAATTCAACTTCTTCAATAAATTGATTTAAATCTTTAATTTTATTTCCCTTAACATGTCTTTTCACTGTGTTTAAAGACATTGCTTTTTTAATCAATGCATAATAATCTGGATAATCTTTACGACTAACTTCTTCCCAAAATGGTTCACCAATATTTATACCATCAACTTTATAATTTATTAAATCATCTAAAATTTCCAGATATTTTCTTTTTGGTGATATATGACCATTAGCAGGTGTAGAAGGAGTTGATTGGATTGATGGAGCTTTAATTTTCAATTTTGGTAATTTTGGAGTAGATGTTGTATTATCTCCTTCATTAATTTGATCAAATTGTTTTACTTGATCTTTAACAAAATCTAAAATTTTTAAAGAATCTTTGGCAATCCCACTATCTTGTTCATTATATTCATTTGCATTTTCAGCCATTAATTCAAAATCTTTTAAAAATTGACCAGTTGAATCATATTGATGATTTTTAATTTTGTTTGAAATTTCTTCAATTGAAATTGGATGCTGAATTGATTCATAATAATCTGGGAATAATTTTTTAGCTGGTAATTTTAAGAAATCAAATGATATATAATCTTTACCATCACGTAATTCTTTAACTAATTTCAAAGTTGTTTGATAAAAATCATAAGTTTCATTGGAGATAGAGCTAGCACTAGTTTTCTGTCTTTTGGCAGGTTGTTCTGGAGATGCAATAGAACTTTTTCTTCTTTGTTTTGGTGGCATTTTAGTTTGACTTTTTGAATCCAATGTTTTTGTTTTGTTTTGATCGTGTTTTTTTGAACTTTTGATCTTTTTTTTAATGGGCCTTTTAAAAAACTTGAAAAATCGCGATTTGAATTTTGACTACAAAGTAAAATTTAACAAAAGATTTAATTGGATTTATTAGGATGAATTGATTATAATTATTGGATTCTGATGATAGTATTGTGCTGTTTGATAACTGTTTGACTATATTTCCAAGTTTCCTGATGGAATTTGCTTTAAAATTGACTTAAAATGACACAACTAATGGACCCTTTTTAGTAATCTTACAATCTTGTTTTATAATTTGAATATCTTGATCAGAAAGTTGTAATTGTGATTCATTTCCATCATTATGGTCATCAAAAGACGTTATTTGTTGTGTGTTGTCATTATTTAAAGTGGTTATAGATTTCTTAAGCACAAGTTCTGAAATTGAAGAATTTGGATTATAAAAAGATGAAATATCAATCAATTTGCTGAATGTTGTTAGTATCCTATCCTTATTGGTACTGATATATCCTATACTCACTCGTTTGTCTCGTTAACAATCTCATTCAATTCTTCTTCTCTTTTCCGTAGTTGAGCATCTTTATCATAATCACTGGAATCATTAGTACTCATAAAACCTATATTATTAAACCAAAAACCTTAAACTCACCGTTCATTGTTCAACAAAGGAGCTGTTTCATTGATCTGGATGGTGTTAGTTATATATCAATCCTAGTATTCATTCTAGTTCTCTTTCTAGTGTCTCCTTCTTACTCACCTGTGTATCTTCATCATCAGAACCTTTCAGACAAGAAGCACAAATACCCATATTTTAACGATTTTTTTCAAAAAAAAGCAGAAGATGATAAATAAATATGCGTATAGATTGAATATAACCTTAGCTAGATGATAATAATCCTTTAATTAGCTTATAAATTGCACTAGTTTCAAATACAAATCTTATCATTTCTGACATTTCAATTTCTTAATTTTACCGGATTTTATAAAAATCAAAATTTAAAAATCAGTTTTTGTACTCAGAAAATCACAAAATCATGATAAAAATGGTAAAAACTGGGTTAAAAAGTGGATTATAAACATTTTAAATAACAAAATCATTTCTTTCATATTCAAATTATATATATTTCATCAATTCCCATTTATTTTAATGGGAAAATGTAACAATACACAATAATATTCATTTTAATTACCCTTTTGGGAAATCAACGAAAAAAGATTCGATTCAAAATTTAATTTTTGAAAAATATCGAGAAACATCAACTATTGAAAAGACATAAATATTAAGAATTTATTGTATCAATTTAGATCAGTTTAAAGATTTGTTAGATCAATAATCATGAACTCCACAATAACGAAACAGATAACACGTCAAAGTTCAGGTCTAGTAAGATCTTTACATACAACAAGACCTTCTTTAGGTTTTATGGATTGGTTTAAAATGAAGAAAGATCAAAAAGAAGTTGAAAAAAAAAATGAAATTAAACCAAGAGCAACTACTGAAGTTATTAAAGATGCTGAAGAAGATAAAATTGAAGTTAAAAAAGTTAACAAGATTGAATTTATTGGATTGAAAAAAGATCCAAGAGATGAATTATCTCTTGGTGAAAGATTAAATGGATTTCATATTAAACATTGGTTAAATAAAGAAAAAGTTTCATCTGTAGAAAAATTAGATGAAATTTTAAAAAATGAATATCAATCCCTTAAAGGTGGAAAAAAAGTTAAATCATTAGATGATATTAATTTAGATGATTTACAATTTCGTTTTAATTATACTTTAAAAATTCAAGAAAAAACTGGTTATATTATACCAGATTATATATTAACAAAAGCTTATTCACCAAATATTTTAAAAAATTATTTTATTAAAGAAGTTTTCACTGGTAGAATCTTAAAGAAAGATCCAGAACATTTAAGTCATACAGAATTATCATATAAGAGTGATAATATTTATATTCATACTCCTGTATCTGATCATAAAGCTGATAAGAAGTATAAGAAATTATTAAAGAAGGCTAGAAAAGATCAATTATTGAAATCTGAACAATTGATTAAAGAAGCGGATGCTTGAAAAGCCCACTGCTTAGGATATAAACTTTCAACCTGTATATATAAATAAATTAATTATGCATAGTTTTTTTTGAATTTTATAAAAAATGTATTAAAGATATTATATACTTTATATTAAAAAAGGGTATGTAAAATGAATGAATGTTCAGTAAAACCATAGTAGAAAAAGGAATATTATTATTTCTTATTTAATGTGAAAACAGTTAATAAAGCACCACCAAGTATTAAACCAACAGTACCAATTAAAATTTCATTTGATAAACCTGGTATGATTTCATTTGATTGAATTTGTTGTTGTTCTTCTTTTTGAATTTTCTTTTTTTGATTTTGAAAATCTTGTAAATTAATATCAACACCATGATTATGAATAAATAAATCAGCTTTATCAAGATTAGAATTTTTATTAATTAAAACACAATCTAATAAATCTTGATCATTTGTTATTGCAACTATATCATTTTCATCATCAATATAACTTATTGCAAAATTTTCATAACCTTGAGTTAAAGTTTCAAATTCTTGAGTTGTTAATTTTATTTTAATTTGAGAAATTAATTCTTCAATCCCTTCAATTGGTTTTAAATTAATTCTATGATTTCTACCATTTGGTGATTTAAATTTAAAAGCGAAAAATTGTTCTTTAATCAATTCTTTATTATTTAAATTTGATGTAATTGTTGAACCATTAACACCACCACCACCATTATTATTACCAGTCAATTCATTAGTTGCACTAACTGAATCATTTGGTCCTAAATTATCATTTGTATTTATTTGATTTAAACTAAATTGATTAATTTCTGATTGACTAATATCTGGAATAATTTGACTACCATTATCTAATTGAGAATCACTATGTAATGATTCAGTATCATTATCCAATGATGTCCAAAATTTATTCCATGCAGGACCTTCTTGTTCTTCACCATTACCATTGGATTCATTTGAATTCATTAAAGAAATTTGATTTAATGTTGCATAAGTTAATTTTAAAACTTCCACAATACCAATAATTTCATCATCTTCTACAATTGGTAAATTTAAATAATGACCATCAAACATTTTTCTTAAAGCTTGTTGAATTGTTAAATTTTTTGGTGCAACATCAGGTTGTGAAGTCATAACTCTAATAACTGAAACTGTTTTTGGATCTAATCCTGCAGCAATAACTCTTAAGACAACATCTTTTGAAGTGAAAATCCCACTAACATCTTCATTATTTGAATCTTTAACCAAGACAGCAGTAGTATGATTTTCCTTCATTAAGACAGCGGCATCATAAACACTTGTTTTAACATTAACATAAGAAGGTAATGAATTTTCATCAAGAACAGATTCTAAAGTTGGACCATTCATAACAGATTTTAAATTTTCAAAATAACGAATGACTTGTAATGGTTGTTGTTGAGAACCAATTTCTAATTGAACACCTTGTAAAGCATCATGTAATTTTTTGGAAGATTCATACATTCTTTCTAATTTTTCCATAGCTTCTTGATAACATTTTGTAATATCCAAGACACCATAAATAAAATTATTTTCATCTAGGACAGGTAAATGTCTAAATCCTCTTTCAACCATTAAATTTAAAGCTTCAGAAGCAGGTGTATTTGATGTAGCACATAATGGATTTTCAGTCATAATTTGATCAATAGTAACACTACCAGCTTTTAAACCTTTACTAACAACTCTAAAAGCTAAATCTTTAGCAGTGAAGATCCCTAATAATCTTTCATCGTCATCAATAACCAAGATACAATTTTCACGTTTAGCACTCATTAATTGTGCAGCTTCATAAGCAGTAAATGAAGGTTTACAAACAACAGCTTCAGAAGGTTTCAAAGATAAGACTGAACCAGGTTGACTATGTCTTGAGCGTTTTTTACCACTAGTACCAGCACCAGCAGCACCACCACTTGAACCTTTAGTACCATATCTTTTCTTACTCAAATCATTTTCAATACGACGTCTAATAGCTTCATCTCTTTTAGATTGTCTTTTTCTACTATCCAAGATTGAATCACCATGATTATTATGAGTTGGAGTAGAAGAGAACCCACTTGAGGTTGTTGACTGGGTCTTCTTTGGTGTTCTCAGGGACATGATTGATACCTAATGACCTATAAGACTATTATAAATATAAGATCAAGATCAAGATCAAGATCAAAATGTAAATATTTAGTTTTTTGTTTTCCTGTAAAAGGTAAACAAAAACAAGAATTCGCGGAAATTTAAATAAAATTAATTTCGCGAATACATTTTTAAAATTTTACATAATCAATTGAATCAAATACAATTATCAATTTATTAACTATGGATAATTGAAGTATTGGTGAACTAATTGATGAATCAATTGATTATGGTAATTTCAATGATTATATGGCATACGTGATGGACTAAAAGAATATTGTGCTCATAGTCTGATTTTATTAGTTTCCTGGTATTGTTAGTCTCATTTTCCCATTTTTTTTGATGTAAATTTGTACAATTTCTTTATTGGTAATTAAAGTTATCAATTCAAATTTTGTTGGCGGCTAATCAATTATATTTAAAGGGATGTTGATTCCCATGTTTTCCATTCTTTTGCCACCATGGATCAAGGGGGTATAGCACCACCATGATTCCAAACTTCATTAAAGAATCAATCATATCAAATCCAGTTAGTATATGGATGGAACAACATTTAAGAGATTTATTTGTTGGATCTCTAAGAACTGGTCAATTACCAAATCATGTTGCTTTTATTATGGATGGGAATAGACGTTATGCTAAAAATAATGGGATAGAAGTTTCTAAAGGTCATGAAGCTGGTTCAAAAAGTTTAGTTCATATAATTGATGCATGTAATCAATTACATATTAAACATGTTAGTTGTTATGCTTTTTCAATTGAAAATTTTAATAGATCTCCACAAGAAGTTGATACATTATTTGAAATCTTGGTTGATAAATTAAATTTATTTTTAGATAATGAAAAAGATTATAATAAATTAGTTCAAATTAGAATTATTGGTAATAAATCTTATATTCCAAGAGATACATTAATTAAATTAGAAGAAATTGAAAGATTAACTCAAAAAAACAATGATTTGATCTTGAATGTTAATTTTTCTTATACTTCAAGAGATGAAATTACTCATTCAATAAGTAAAATTATTGATAAATCTTTAAATAATGAAATTATAACCAAAAAAATTGATATAAATGAATTTCAAAAAAATTTCTATTATCCAGAAGATACACCACCAGTTGATTTATTAATTAGAACAAGTGGTCATACAAGATTAAGTGATTATTTAATTTGGCAAGTTAATGATGATCAAATTTCAACAATTGAATTTATAAATGTTTATTGGCCAGATTTTAAAATTTTACAATTTTATTATTTATTATTAAAATGGTCATATAATAAATCATGGAAACAAACAAGGGAAGAATGGTCAAATATTTCAATATTTGGTAATAATACATTAAATGAATCTGGTATAAATTTAAAAGATTTACCTAATCCACCACCATTAGTTTCAATATTAGGGAAAAAATAAGTTATCTCTGCTTTGGTTTTATAATAATCGTATCAATAATTGTTTTTTTTTCAATTTTATTTGCTTCTTTTAATTTTGCATTTTCAATTTTTCTTAAATAAGAATTAAATACAACAACTTCAGCCACAAGGATTAAAATTCCAAAAAATAAACAAATTAAAACTCTATAAGCTGGATTAAATTGATAATTCTTAGTCCAATACCAAATTGCATATACTACTGAACATACCGAAACAAATATATTTAAAATTGTAGTTAATTGATTTTTTAATTCTTTAGCCATTTCATTTGGTGTTTGATAATCATTATCCACATGACCTTTATTTATTAAATTTTGATATTCTTGTTCTTCTAATTGATATTTTAATTTATTTAATTGAGATTGGAACTCAGGTGTGTATGATGAAGTTTTAGGTGGTGGTATATATGGGGTTAATCCATTTGTTAATTTTGTTAATGGTAAGTTATGATTTTGTGATATATATATTAAATCATTTGTTGTTATCCAATTTCTCTTGAGTATTGTTGAGCCATGTGGTATATCTTTGATGTGATCCTTAAGGTATTTGGGTATTTGAAACTTGGTCATGATGTAATGTTAATAGACAGATCAAATACAAATATAATAATATCTCTCTCATTCCTATAGATAATATAAAACCAAAATAAAATAATTGACACATTCTTAAAATGACAGATGATTATATAATGATCTTAGTCACATGCCAATGACATAATCAATTACGTAATCCCATTCAAGCAGTAATTGTCCGCTCTTCGCACTTGTGGGCAATGGTTTTACGGACCCTAACTCGCCTTTCCCGAAATTCGCACTTGTTCTCCAATGTTAAATTAACCAATCACTTTAATTTCATAATAATAATAAGCAAAACTAAGTCATTTATTTGTATGACCATTAAAACAAAATTGATATATACAGGTGAATAAAATCAAATGTATTTTTATATATATAACTTGATTTCTTATCTTTTGAGATCTATTACTATATTTATTTATTTATTATTATTATTTATCATCAACAATGTTTTCAATTAAATCATTACCAAGAGTTACAAAAGTTAATACAAAATCAAATCTATCTTTATTAAGATTATTACATATTCAAACATTTACAACACCAAATGAAAATGCATTAAAATTTCAAATTGATCAAAAAATTTTAGATGATGATGTTTCAAGTATTCAAATTAATCAATTAAATCAATCAATATCACCATTAGCTTCCAAGATATTCCAATATTCAAAAGATGTTGAATCATTAATGATTGGTTCTAATTTCATAACGGTTAATAAAGATGAATTTACTCATTGGAATCAAGTTACTCCATTAATCAAGACCATCTTGGAAAATCATATTGAAAATAATGAAGATATTATTATTGCACAATCTTCAAATCCTGCAAAACAACCACATCATGATGAACATTATGCCGCTCTTAGTGAAGAAGACCAGGAAATTTCAGATTTAATTTCAGAATTAATTGAAACCAAAATAAGACCAACAATTCAAGAAGATGGTGGTGATTTAATATTTATGAGATATTCTGAAGGGAAAGTTTATGTTCAATTACAAGGTGCTTGTACAAGTTGTTCCCTTAGTGATGATACCCTAAAGAGTGGGATCCAAGGAATGTTGAATCATTATATTGATGGGATTGATGAAGTTGTTAATTTGGCGGAAGTGGAATTTAATAAATTTGAAGAAAAATTGAAGGCTTCAAAAGAAGCAAGAGCATAAGAAGCTTAAACCGATAGGTTTAAGGTTATATATAATCAACTGAATATCAATCGATAGGTTGATTTGATTGATATTATGATTATATCAATATTCAAATCAAATAGTTACAAGTTTATTATAATGAACCTGGCGGTTCATTAACACAGCGGTTATTCATGCATTCAAATATTAGCATTGTTTTTTGGTTTTATGTTTTCTGTTTTATTGGGTATAGGAGTTTTAATGAATAGATTTATTATAATGGGAAAGTAGTGTATATCGGTACCGAAGTAAAGAGTAGAACAGTAATATAAAGGTGTAATTATGGTCATTTAGTCATTTATTACAATGGTCATTTATTATCATATCTTATCAATACTATTATACGTGGTTGATCATCAAGTAAATCATTTTTAGTAAATGGGTGTTAAATATCAACCAAGTGACCATAACCAACCAACCAAAAGAGTAAGTCATTCCAATGATTTAAAATCTTTAATATAACCATCGATTTTTTTAGCAAATTTTAAATCAATATCACTTATTCCTTGTAAATCATGTGTAGTTAATGTAATTGATACTTTATTATAAGTCTATACCATTGTCAGTTTGATATCATCGAGATCACCAAAGGGAAGTAATACATACTGTTAAGATTGTTGGATGATGATCCCAAAGATGTGATCTCAAGGAGACTTGATTCAAGAAGGCCTGGCAGTGTTAGTAATAGCTATTGTATAGTTAGGAATCAACTCACCCATGTTTGTTCGAAATTCTTGAATTTGATGTTTTTTGTTATTGATTGATTATGGTATTGCCAATTTGATAATGATGATAGTGCTGTTTGGATTTGTTCCTGGGTGAGTTTAGTTACTGGGATTTTCTTTAGACTGTTGATCATGTTTACCACTGGGAACAGAATTGATATAGACTAGATCAAAGAAGACTATATAAGTTGATTGTTTGTAGTTGTTGTTGTGTATCTGCTTGTCTTTAGTCTTCTCTATTTGACTCAAAAAATCATGATTTCTGTCAATTTCCACAGTGTCACAGCACCCGAGCCTATATCGAACACGTCAAAATTGAAATGTAAACATCAACAAAACGATTATCAACTCATACCTTCCAACTTGTTACTCCAATGGCTTCTGCTTTGGCCATACTAGATTCAAATGCATATCCTCTCATATCAAGAGTCTATACAACTGATATCTTACCATTAGACATCATATTTCAAGACTTCCAAAAACTAATACAAGATGATAATACCAATTATACTCCAATAATAAAATCTCCTAATGGTGTTAATTATATTTATATCCAATCAAATGATATTATACTAATGATTATAACTTATTATGATTACATAAATTCAATGACTTTGGTACAATTCTTATACAATTTTAAAGATATTTTATTACGTTATTTCAAGACATCAAATTTATTTAAAGATCAAATCAAAGATAATTTTAATTTAATTTATGAAATTATGGATGAGATTATGGATTTTGGTATACCACAATTTACTGATTTTAATATATTACAAGATTTTATCAAGATTGATGTGAATCAATCAATCGAGAAGAAGGATAAAGATATTGATGATTCAATAAATTCTTCAATTATAAGAACAACAACTTCAAATATTTCATGGAGACCAAAAGGGATTTATTATACTAAGAATGAAATATTCATAGATTTAGTGGAAAGATTAAATATAATTATAAATCCAGATCAAAAAATTATTAAAAATGAAATTAAAGGTGAATTTCAATGTAAATCTTATCTTTCCGGTATACCAACTTTAAAAATAAGTTTAAATAAATTTTATGATTTAAAAAAATTTAAATTTCATCAATGTGTTGATTTAAATAAATTTATAAATGATCAAGTCTTGGAATTTATACCACCAGATGGGGATTTCATACTGGGGTCTTATCAATTTCAATTTAAATCAAATACAACACCCATACTAGAAATTACACATATAGATTATTTACCTAAACCACCACATAATATAATATTAAAATTTGGAATAAAGATAAATGCATCACCAAAGACATTATTAAATAATATCAAGATACTAATACCAATAGATTTTAAACAATTCCCTAAGGAAATTGATAAATCTGAAACACCAAAATTTAAAACTTCCATAGGGAAAATTTATTATAAATTAGATCAAGATTGTTTAATTTGGGAAATTGATTCTTTGGGAGGTGATCGACATTTTGAAATGATGTCAATGTTTAAACTGCAGACAGAAGAAGTTAAGGAACTAGGTATGGATCCACCACCAAAATCAACAACACCAAATATATTAAAATTACAAAAAAATCTCGAGATAAAAAAGATAAAAAATATTGATATATCATTTGAAATTAAAGATTTAACTATAAGTGGATTAAAAATTGAATATTTAAAAATTTTAGAATCAAATTTAAATTATCCTTGGTTTCCTTGGGTTAGATATAAAACTTTAACTGATGAATATATATATAGATTATAATCCTTCTAAATGAAAGGGGGCCACTTATTCTTGTAATGTTTTTAATAATTTAATTCGTTCTTCAATTTTACCCTTTTCAAAATTATATTTTAATTCCCAATTTTTATATAATTTTAAATTTGTTTCACCTATTGCAATTCTAATTTTTTCAAATAATTGAGATTTAAAATTTGTTATTATGTTCAACCATTTTTTAGAAATATTATTAAAACCAAGAACTAATCCTAATGATCCAAGGGAAATCATTGAATATGGTTCAAATCCAAACCAAAACCATCCAGAAATTGCAACTAACCCCACGGGTAATTGTAATCCAATGAAATTGAATCCTAATAATCTTGTAACTTGATTTTGTATCGGGATTAATTCATTATTTATAATATCTTGTTTAATTGAAATCAATGGATTGTCATTAAGATCACTTGTTGTTTGTGAATTAAATGAATCAATTTGTCCCTGGATATAAGAAATTTGTTGAATTGAATTTGGTAAGAAATTTTGATTCAACATATTTGTTAAAATGGTTTCAATATCATCATTTTTATAATATAATTTCCACCAATCTAGGTTTTTTTTTTCAAAATTTGTTATATATGGTTTAAAATTTAATTGGAACTCACGATGTGTTGATTCATCCCAATTTTTAATTAGTGTTTGAATCTTGATATCTTTTTCAGATAATTCTTTAAAAGTTAATGATTTTTGATTTAATTGAATTTGGAAATTTTTCAAGATTGATTGATATAATGTTTTTTCAATTTGTTTAGGTTCAATTAATTTATCCAATGTTTTAAGGAATTCTGGGAATTGACTTTCATTATACAATTTTGTATATTCTGATGCATTTAATGAAGATTTAGTTAATAAATTTGTAGCTTCCAGAGCTTTATTTGAATTTAATTCATTTGGATATAATAAATCTGTTGTGGAATCTTTAATTTCCCATGTTGGATATTTATAATTATTAATTAAACCAGGATTAAAATTTAAATATAAATGACATCCATCATTAAAATTATGGTGTTCTAAGTTTAAAATTTCTAAAAATTCTAAATTTTTATTTTGTAAAAAAGGTGATGGGATTTCTAATTGTGATTCTAAATTTTGAAATTCATCATTATATTTGATCAATTGAGAATCAGATCTTTCTTGAAATTGATTATACCATGATTGATCTGATGCAAAAGGATCTGATAAAATTGTATTAAGGAAACTTTTTTTAGGATTAACAAGACCAATTCTTATAGGTTTGGATGAGTTCAAATTTTGTAATAAATCAATCTTACTGAAAACACCATCTATATCTTGAAATAATTCTTTTGCCTTGTTTAAATTTGAAATTTTATCAGTTATTGATATTGGATTTGAAATTTGTTCATGTTTTATAGGTGTACTATTTTCATGTATTGGTGGTAAAATTTCATTTAGAATTGGATTTGAACCATTAGAAACTGTGCTCTGTGTGGATATCGTACTGTACCATCTTCCCTTGACCGATATACTTGTCAATGGCCTCACCACTCTTTGAATCAGCATCTTTTATCCATACAGAACTGTGAATAATAACCAATTAAACTAGTGAAGTATTCATCACCTTTAAAAGAAAAACAAATTAAAATTAATAAAATTAAAATCACGTGTAAATTAATAGTATCATGTGATCAGGGCTGAGTGGCATTTTTTCAATTTTATTTCCGGTGGATTTAAAAATTTCAAAAACTTCACATGGTAAATTAAATGACAACAAAAAGAGAAAGTTGTCATGGATTATGGATAAGGATTTGATAAAAGGAATTGTTTGTCTATTGATTAGTTCTTGGTGTTATTCATAATAGTATTATTTGTGTTGTTGCTTGATATTCTTTGATATTGGTGATATTGTGGGATTGCTGTTTGATATGGAGATTAATAATACTCATGGAACAGGTGGTGGTAAAGGAACAGGTAATAATGGTAATGATAATGGTAATGGACTCAAAAGGAAATTAGATACACAGTTCACAGAGATACGGTCGAATAGTCCAGTTGATGAAAATAATGAATTATTAGCTATTCAAGCCCTTGGCCAATTGAAAAATAGTGGGACTCCAAATAATGAATTATTAGATGAAGATGAAGAAGATGATGAATTTTATGATACAAATAATGATATTGATACAATGATAAGATCCACCATGAATAATACAACTACTGATACTGGGTTTTTCATGAGAAATATTAAATCTCATCCATTATATAATAGTGCTCTTCGAGCTTATAGGATTAATAAACCAACTATAAAATATGGTGTGGAAATGATGGAAAAAGCAGCTATACCCATGGTTAATATTATGGAACAAACAAGATTAGAATGGAAAAGAAAGAAAAGATTAAAAAGAGCAAATTCAATGTTCCCGGATGAAGCTAAATTTTTACCAAAGAATTCATCATTAAGATTAAATTCAAATTCTAGTGCAACAACAAATTTACCTTCAATATCTGAAGCATTATCATTAAGTAATATAAATTTTAATGAATTTAGTTTAAATTTATCTATAGAATCTAAAAAAAGAATTGCAACTTGTTTACAATTATTAATGTTGGCAAATAAACAATTATCATCAAAAATTCAACATTTACAAGATTTAATTTCTAAAGAACGAGAATTGTTCACTAAAAACCAAGAAAATAATGATGAATTATTACCAGATGATTCATCAAATGATAATGCAATTCAAATTAAACAAGAAATTGTAACAACTATTAAAAAAGTTGTTTCATTAATTTCAAAATATGCAGGTAATTCATTACCAGAACCTGCAAGATCAAATGTTCGTCAAACTTTATTAAGATTACCAACAAAATGGGCTTCATCAACAACAACAGATCCATTAAACCAACCACCTAGTACTAGTACTACTAATTCTTCATCATTTTTCAATACAAATGGGAAAGTTTTAATACTTGCAAATGAATCATTAGAAATGGTTAGTTCAATTATGAATGTATTTGATGAAACTTTAAATAAAGCTGAATTATGGGTTAAACAAAAACAACAAAAACAATTAACTAAAATGGCTATATTGAATAATTTACAACAAAATCAAATTCAACATGGTCATAATCAACATGGTGAACAAAATCAAATTGGTTCAAGTAAAGAATTAGAGCAAAATCATTCTATTCAACAAAATGAAAAATCGAATGAATTGAATCAAAATTTAAAGTCTATTGATAAAGGTAAAGATAATGATGATGAATTATTAAGTGATTAATCATATATTGATTAATACTTTTTTTTTTAATGAAGTTGTATAATGAAATTATGAAATGTATATTTAGTAACAAAAAAACAAAAAAACAAGAAAAAAAACCAAAGATTTAAACCGTAGCTCATTAAAGTACACACATATATCTAGCAATATCTTAATTTTGCAATGCTTTTAATCTTTCTCTCATTTCATTGAGAACTTGTTCATCATCTTCATCTTCCTCAACAGCAGGTTCTTCAACTTGAGGAGTTTCTAATTTAGTATCAGGAGCATTATCAATCTTATTAAATTTATCTTTAGTTAAATCACTAATGATTTTATTAACTTCTTCATCAACTTCTTCATCTTCTAATTCATCATTTTCATCTAATAAATCAACTGTATCACCAACCATTTCATTTATTATACCACTTTTAACTAATTCTTGTGAAAGATCTCTCATTGTCCCGGTTAATTCTGGTAATTTAACTAAAGAATTAACTTCTTTCATTATACCAGAACTTAATTTCATATTTTCTTGTAATTTAAGCATACCAAAACTTTCATCAATTTGCATTCCAACACTATCTAATTGTGCTTTACTCTTGTGTAATCTTGATTTTTGTTTCTTAATACCATATAATTCCTTTGCATATATTTTAACAGCTTTATTATCTTCTTTTCTAGCACTTGATTTAATTAATGTTTCTGTTTTCTTTTCTAATGCACTTATTTCTCTTATGGATTTTTCTAATTGACGTCCATTTCTACGTACTAATTGTCGACATTTTCTGTGCTATAGAGATTGTTAATAACTTGAAGTATATCATCATAAAATCATTAAACATACTTGTTCTTTTGGATCTGGACCCCATATAGCCTTCTTTAGGTAATTCATTGTTGTGGATTCTGATTGTAATAGTTCTCAGTTGGTAATTTTTATGGAATATCAAATTAAAAGGATAAATATATTTCAGATTTTGACTCTTATATCTAATCAGTATTCCACTTTTATGATCACCTCAATGCTCATATATCTTTTTAAAATTCGCGAACAGATAATACGAGGACACAAAGTACATCCAGACACCACCATATAAACTCTCTTAATTGAGCTCATTTAATTTGAGAAAAGGATTTTACCTAAAAAGAAGGTTTTATATTTCATTATATTCTCTATACAGTATGCCAATGAATCTAGTTATAGTTTTGCTTAATATCTTCTAAAAGATTCAATTCTTTTGGAACCCAACCTAATTCAGATATAGTTTTTTCATTTGATACCCACATATTTTTTTTATAAGCATAACCTAAGAATCCTAAATCTTTTTCAGCTGATTCCATTGCATATGATTTTAAAGGTAATTTAAATTTTTCACTAATAACTTTAGCTAAATCAATTGATTTAATTCCCTCATCATGAACAGCATGATAAACTGAACCTTTTGAACCTTTTTCAATAGCTAATCTAAATGCTGAAGCTGCATCATTTTTATGAACTGCTGACCATCTAACTTCACCTTCATCAAGATAAACTGAATGTCCAAGTTTTTTATCAGTATTGATTAAATCTGGAATTAATGCAATTTCACCAGGTCCATGAACTGAAGGTGGTAATCTAACCACAATAGTCTTTGTACCATATTTTGTAGATGATTCAAGTGCAAAAATTTCATTTTTAGTTCTTTGATAATCACAATCAGGTTTTGGCCAATCATATTCATATTGTTTAACACCAATTGATGATGGCATTGTCATCAAATCAGTTGTATAAACAAATGGTTTATCAGTACCTTGATATTCTTCAATCATAGCTTTTGTAGCTTCAAAATCAATTTTACAACATTCTTCATATCTTGTGAAATCATGAATAAAACCTAAATGTAAAGTACCATCTGCTTTTCTAGCACCTTGTTTTAATGATTCTAAATCTTCAAGATCACCTCTATGAACTTCACATCCTTTATCTTGTAATTTTTTAGCAGATTCATCAGATCTTGCTAATGCTAAAACTTGATGACCATTTGCTAATAAATCATCAACTAATGCTTGTCCGAGATAGCCAGTACCACCTGTAACGAAATATTTTGTCATTCTTGTATATTTTGTATTGTAAGTAATCAGCTATTGAATTGTTTGAGTTTTGATAAATGATGACTTTCAATGTCAAATACCTCAGCTCGAATACCTTTCATGGGTGTCATTGTATAAGTTTTATTAATATCACCAACATTTTTCAACAACCAATACAACAATCTCAATGGTTAGGGCTCTATGATCCCTTCTTCAATATGTTTACTCATGATTAGTAACTTAAACAACAACTCATAAAATTACACCCGCGCTATATCACCGACAATGTCCAATTAGAATCTAGAATCTATATAGTACAGGCGCGTAAGTCCTAGTGAGACTTATCTTTGACACAAAATTACACTTTATAAAACTTAATCTAATCATACATTAATATCCTCCCGATCAGTTCATATAAGAACCATACTCATAGCAATCAGAACTGCCGCACCCATTATGGACCATGAAATTACCTTGTTAGATGTGGCTTCAGATTTAGTAAAATCAAATGAGGATTCAACATCATGACTATTACCTTTATCAAATAATAGCGAAGGATTTTTTTTGAATTTGTCTAATGGATTTTTGGAATCTTTATCACCTGAAAGTGGTACGGTTTTAGAAGATAATGGTAACTTCCCAGTTGTTTTATTTGATGCTTTGGTACTATTACCATTGTTTTTACCATTTTCAAGTTCTGCTAAATGCTCAACAGGAACCTTAGGAATGGAATAAGGATCATTATGTAAAGATGATTTCTTATCACCTTCTTCAAGGAGATCTAATACTTTAGTTAAAGGTGATTTAGTACCATTTGTAAATTTCTCAACATTTTCTCTTAAACTTCCACCACTATTTTTGTTCTTTGTTTTTGAACTCTTGGATGTGGAGTCTTCAATCTCTACATCATCATTATCATCATCAACAGAAGATTTTGTAAACAAATAATCTTCTGGACTGTAATATTCAACTTCATCATCTGAATCCTCAGTGCCTTCACTATCGGAATTCTGCGATTTTGCCTTTGCCAGTTTTCTTGAGGTTTTTTTCTTCTTTTTGTCAAATCCAAATACCAATTTACCTTTCAGAAGATCTTTATATTCATCATCTTCTTCAACTTTCTTTACAGATGATTCATCACTTTTTGATGATTTAAATTTACCACTTTCAGCCTTTTCCGCTTTTGCAACAGCTTTAGATTTATCACCTTTACCTTCACCCATGACAGGTTTCTTAGATTTTTCATTAGCTTCGCCTTTAGCAATTTTTTCTAAAGATGTATGCTCCTCAATAGCAGCTTCCAATGCAGCTTCTTTTATTGCCTGTTCCTTGAGTGCCTTATTCTCCTTGCTATTCTTTGGCTTTTTCTTCTTGGATTTAGATTCTCTTCCACCAACCTGTTCATCTTCTTTGTGATCTTTGAATCCGAACTCTTCACCATGACGCTCATCCACCAAATCAAAAACGTTCTTCGGTATTCTTCTCACAGTATCCAAGAATGATCCTTTTCTGTCCTTATTTACCTCTCTACTCTCATCAAGAAGATCTTTGAGACCTAAGTTTTCCAAAGAATTTTCATCAGATTCAGAGCTCAACTCTATATCAGATACAACTTCAGCAGCATCATCTTGATCATTGTTTTCCTCCTCATCTTTCTCATTTTCATCAACCTCATCATCACTATCTTGATTTTCTTTTTCTAGTTGTGCAAAATCAACAATTGAGTCAGTCAAAGAATCTTCATTTACTCTTAAATTATTTGAAACCGGCAATGAAGCTGAAGAAGAAGGTTTCAGAGGCTCAGAGAGACCCAGAGATTCTGGTGAGTCTTCCTGACCTGTATTATCATCCAAGTTTAGAACGTTTCCCAAAAGTAATTTCAACTTCTCGATGTCTAAATTATCACTCTTAAAATTTTCCTTGAGGATCTTCTCCAAGCTAAATTCATTAGAGTCCTTCTCTGGAGTAGGATCCACTTCAGCATTACTTTCTGGGTTTGAAGGTTGTGAAAATGTTTGTGTCACTGTCGGCAAAAGTGTTGTTTTGGGTCCTGATGTCTTAGTAATGGTAATGACTTTAGGTTCTGGTATAGCTTTTGTGCTAGATGAAGACTGTTGTGGAGCAGGAGCAGGATCAGACAGTTGAGGTTGGATTTCAGTGACAATGGATACTGGTTCTGGACTGCTAACTTCGTGAGGTTTGGCGGATAGAAGTTCCCGTGCTTTGAAATAGTTATCTAAAACATTCTTGACCTTTTCCTCAATACCAAGACCATTTATACCACTCTCTGAATTTGATAGCATTTCAACTATTGGGCCATTTTCCTGGAGCTTGGTTTCTTCAATTGACGGATTTCGTTTCTCTTGAGGCTGTATTTCTTCAACTTTTGGACTATTAATTTCCTGAGGCTTTATTTCATCAACCTGTGGGTCTTTCTTTTCTTCAAGGTTAGAAGATGATGAAACTTTTGGTAAAAGATCTTTAAAGTGCATGTCGAGAACATTTTTGATTGTTTCTTCAAGACTAACACCATTATTATCATTCTTTGGTTCTAATACATGTGGGTTTGGAGGCGCTTTCAGAACATGGTTTGGTTCTGGAGTAGGAATGGGGTTCAGTGGAGCCTCTGTTTTTGGAAGTTCTAGAGTTGGAGCTAATTTCAGTGTAGATGTTGTTGAAACCTTTTCCAGCTCTGTTGTCTTAATTGGTTCAGCCGAAGAGGTTGGTGGTTCCAGTAAAACTGATTCTGGTTTTTGATCTGACTTATTTACTGGTGGATCACTACTCAATTTAGTTTTCTCATCCACTTGTTCAACCGGAGGGATTGGAGAAACAGGCTCAGGTATGATTTCCTTTGTTGTTGTTGTAGTAGCATGATCTTTTGTTGATGATTTCACACTTTCAATATCGGATGGTGTGTGTGATGGATGTGATGGATGTGATGGTGGGGGTAATTCTGGTGTTGGTGCTGGTATATTTTCTTTAGGAACTGCCAATGATGAGTCGACTGGCGGAGCAGGAATGTTTTCCACAGAAGTTGGCGATGGTACTTCTGGCTCAATTGTTGTAGTTGGTGGTGGTATCAGAGAGGTAATTTTTTCAACAGATGTCTCTTGTAATGAGGTATGTCTCAAATTCCCACCATGTGATATTTTGATAATATTTCCTGGTTTGACTGATCTTATTTCAGTTGAGGTGATGATATCAGAATCAGGAGTAGCAACTGTTGGATCATTAGAAGTAGAGGAGCCACCTTTACGTCTTCTATTTATACTTTCAAAAAAATCAGGACCATGTGGTGGTGAATTAGCAGCTGCACCCTCAGCTATAACAGATGGGTCTTTCGAGACACTTTCGAGCAAAAATGGATCTTTATCATTAATATTTACCCCAAGATCAAGCTTACCGTCCTCATTTGGGAACTCACCAGCATATGCTTCAACGAAACCCTTTATATCTGAATCGACTCTTGCTTGATCATTTTGACCATGTATTTCCACTTTTTCACCATCATTATTCAAACTATCAAAATTTGCCAAAAGCTCAGAGGTGCTATCATGTGTTGTATCTGAAGCTAAAGAATAACCACTGCAAAGTAATAATGTCACTAACACACGAGATCTCATAATGTAAAACTGTTTGATAATTAGCCAGTAATAGACCTATTTGAAAAGCAGACTTCCTACCTTCTAACCAACAAATGTCAAGCAGTAATGTGGATATTGTTTGTCATTTTGTGACTTTTTGTGCTGATAAAATTTGGTCTTAATGGTTTTGTGTCACAACATCATAATCAAGCTGGTTCGGAGATCCAATATCACACAAAAACAAAATATAAAACACTCTATAACAACAAGATAGTATCAGAGCCCAAGTGAGTCCCAATGTGTGATATTTAAAGTGTCACACTACTCAGTAGCATTTAAAACATTTTTGGCAATCTCAATATATGGTTCTTTGATTGTATCGTTTTCACTTGTGGCGACCACAGGTCTACCCTTATCAGATTGTAAACAAATCTCCTCTGTTAGTGGTATGGACCCCAACACCTTAAGATGTTGTTTCTTTGCCTCTTTTATAGTACCATCATTCCCAAAAATGTGTGATTCATGGTTGCAGTTTGGACAAACATAGTAACTCATATTTTGTACTAGACCGAGAATCTATGAAAGTTTTGTTAGTAAAAGAGCATTAAAGCACAAGCTGAAAAAGGACTTACTGGAATATTCACCTTATTGAACATTGTTATACCTTTCACCGCATCTATCAACGCTATATCTTGTGGTGTTGATACTATGACTGCACCTGTGACTTTTATCTGTTGACTTATCGTAAGTTGTGCATCACCAGTACCTGGGGGCATATCAATCACCAAGTAATCCAAGTTACTCCATTTGACTTCAAACAAAAGTTGCTGTAGCGCCTTAACTACCATTAGACCTCTCCATACAACAGCATTCTCTGGTTTGATAAGATAACCCATGGACATTGTTTCCAAACCATAGTTTGTCAGCGGTAATAGTCTTCCATCATCAGATAGCCTTGGTTCACCCTCTAGATTCAATAATTTAGGAATAGAAGGCCCAAATATATCAGCATCAAGAATGCCAACTCTTTTACCCAATTTTTGAAGTGCTAATGCCAGGTTTACTATATGTAGTTTGTTAGATAACCGCTTAAATTCACGTTCAAAAGAACCATAAACATACCTGAAACTGTTGATTTCCCTACACCGCCTTTACCAGAAGCAACCACAATGACTTTGTTGACATTGGGTATGCGCTTTCTTGATGGCAAATTGCTTCCAATTCCAAGCTTTTTGGCTTCTGGATTCTTCTTTGGCAATCCCTTTAGTGAATAATAGGTTAGTACAAGTTCTGGGGAAAAGTTGAAAATTCGGAAAACAACATACTAGTGGATTTTCATGGGAGAAAAGCTTAGCCGAGTCAGATAGTCTTCTGAATTGAGACCCTAAGCTGTTACTGGTCAGAAACTTTTGACAATTGGAAAGTAACATCTTCCTTTACTGAACTCCTTGTGAAGAGATCAAGTTGTGTTTTGGTATGGAGTCAAGATTTTGCTAGTGGGGCCAAATTCGCGCCAGATTTTAAAGCACTGGGAAGATTTGTAATAGTATAGGTAAAGTTTTTGATAACGGCATTATTCACTAAACAAAAGTCACAGGATGTTTTCTTTGAAGAAGTTTATACCCAGAGAGAGTATAATAAGACACATAAGGTTCTCATCGACATCCCATTTGCCCACTGTCTATGCTTTATCAACCTCTCATGGGAGAGCTGCGATCGGTGTTATAAGAGTTACAGGTACAGAATCACAGTTTGTAAGTATATGAGTAAATCAAAGTCTTTAAAGACTTAATACTAATCAGTATCCCAGATCCTTGAAAAACTATCACAAAAATCATTACCAAAACCAAGAGTAGCCTCAGTAAGGAAGCTTTATGATCCTAAGACATCAATTTTATTAGATGAATCATTAGCCATTTTATTCAATGGCCCAAAATCATATACAGGTGAAGATCTTTTAGAGTTACACCTCCACGGTGGTAATGCTGTTATAAAAGCGGTATTGAAAGCAATAGAGTCATTACATACGAATGAAAAACCAATACGGTATGCTGAAGCTGGTGAATTTTCTAAAAGAGCTTTTCAAAATGGTAGATTTGATCTTACTGAAATTGAAGGTATAAGAGAGTTAATTGATGCTGAGACCGAATCTCAAAGAGTTGGTGCGTTGGATTCAATGACTGGTAGTAATAAAATCAGATTTCTGGAATGGAGAGAGAAGATTGTTGACTCTATTGGGCTATTAACTGCTATTATTGATTTTTCAGAAGATGCTGAGATCGAGGATATAGATAACATTTATAAAAATGTTGATAAAAAGGTAACTGAACTTCAAAAAGAAATTGATCAATTCTTGAAAAGAACCCAAAGCTCTGAAGTTCTACTGAAAGGTATCAAGCTAACTCTTCTCGGTCCACCAAATGCTGGTAAATCATCCATTTTAAATAAGTTGGCAAATGAAGAGGCCGCAATTGTTAGTGATATTGCAGGTACAACAAGAGATATCATCAATGTTCCACTAAACATTCATGGCTATAAAGTGGTTGTTGGTGATACAGCAGGTATTAGAGACCTAGCAAAAGCTGATAAAATCGAAGCTGAAGGTATTAAAAGAGCTAAAATACAAGCACAAGTTGGTGATTTAGTTATCGTTGTACTACCTGCTAATGATGCTCATATAGATGAAGAACTAGTTGATTTGATCAAGGTATTGAATAAAGAAAAGAAAGTCTTGGTGATCTTGAACAAGTGTGACTTAGTATCAAAAGAGGAAGTTATGCACTTGATAGATAATTCATCCCATATACTGAATGTGCCAAAAGACAACTTCTTACCAGTTTCTTGTTACAACGATGAAGGTATTGATCAATTAAGTAATGGTCTTATCGAAGAATTCAAAGTCATCAGTGCCACTGAAAAATCAGATCCTATAATGATTACACAGAGAGTTAAAGATATCTTGATCAATGATGTGTTAAATGGGTTCAACGAATTTAAAACGTATAAAGATTTAGATGATGTTGTTATTGCAACTGAAAGCTTAACCCAGTCAGTTGAAGGTATTGGTAAGATTACAGGTGAAACAGTTGGTGTTGAAGAGGTCTTAGGTGTCGTGTTTTCAAGTTTTTGTGTTGGAAAATAAGCCAATCTATCCTCTATTAAATCACATTGTATATAGTCTAGAGAAAATCAAAATTGTGATAGGAACTGTAATCAATGACCAAACATTAATGTTCAAAAAATATGATCCTTTTGATTCATGGAATGTTGTTGATGAATTAAGCGTAAGATTTGATGCGTTTGTTGTAATGGTGGAATTCATATCAAGATCTATATTTATACTCATATTTTTAACGATGTTTTCAATAAATTCAGATGGAACAGTTATATTGAAATCCCAATTCTCGTCAGAAATTTCGTTATTATCTTCATCTTCGTTAGAACGTACAACTAATGGGTCAGCTTTTGGAATGATATCGTATTGGTTCGATTCTGTTTTTGTTGTGCCAAATTGATAAATAACTTCGTGATTATAAGAGTCACGATCTAGCTCTTTAAGCTCTTTCTTTGTGAACTTTTTTGTGAATAATTTAGTTAAATCATCAGGCTTGTTTCCTGACCCTATAGCATAACTCAAACCATCTTCATCAATAGGTTTAAGCTTTCTAAATTCTTTTGAATTCTCTCTTTCTTTCTCTTCTTCATGTTCCCTGAATAATTCCTCCAAATATTCCTCTCTATCTTCGTCTGCATATCCCAATGTTTCATAAATCTCTTGCTTGATATAAATTTTTAGTTCTATTGGGATTCTTGCCCAGCGTTCAACTTTTCTTAAAAGGTAATATAGTTTGATTAAAATCTCAGTCAAGATTTTTTTGACTTCCCATAAGATTGCCAAAATGATTTTTAAGATCAATCTAATAACTCTTTTAATCTTGAGAATGATATTCCATGGAAAGCTTTTGATACATGTTTTGATTTTCTTTATGAGGAAATGCTTGATCAAGTTCAAACATTTAACAATTTTTTCAATGGTATTCATAATCTTTAAACAAATCTTAACTTCCGCCAACCTCAATAATTTGGTCAATTTAATAAGTTTCAAAATAATTCATAATCAGCATCTGGATCCCAATACTTCTTACCATTCTCATCTATGAATACACCAGAAACTTCTTTATAGTTAGAGTCTAATGACGAGATAGTGACCTGGTAATCATCTTCATATGATTTTCTTGGTTCCCAATTTTCGAAAAGAGATAGAGCATCAATATCATTACTCATAACTTTCTCATAATAATCTGGATTTTGATCTAATTTATCAGCCATATCAAGTATGTCTTCATCACTCAAAGTAACCAATATAGTTGCAAAATTGTAAAGTTTTTGATATAGCGCTTCAAGTTTATCATTCAAGTCTTCAAGCTGTTGTTCTAGAGATTCAAATGACAGCTCATTAAGTTCTTGTCTTACTACTGGATCATCATATTTCTGTAACAACAACTTCAATTCAGATTCTTGATATTCATTAGCACCAGGATCTAATATCTTTGTGTCTTCTTTTAAAAAATCAAAACCTTCATCATCACCTATGAATTCATATAAATCTGATAGTTGAGAGTCAAAAACACGAGCGGTAACTGACCTTGGATCTGATGGATTGAGACTGAAACCAAACAAACATCGGGTCAACAGTAAAACAACCAGAAAATGTGCCCACATTTTGGAGATTTGTGAACGTACAATATATGTGTGATGTTATACTTTTAGATCAACATATCTCTTCAAATGTTATCATAAGTGGGTATATGAAAGTTTTTGAATTGAATTTTATTTGAAAAATTGAATATAAATATACACAGCGGCTAATTTTACAATCGTTGTGAATCTCAAAGAAGCGCATAATTTATTAAATCAATATCAATAAAACCTAGTAAATGTAAAAACAAAAGTTACCTAAATAAACTTGAAAACAATTTTGGTGATAATAACCAGAAGACAAGCTAAGAAATATGGTCCAGCAATACTAGTTGCAAGTGAAGTACCCATTGAGTCAAAAGATGTTGAGTTGTTTATAGTGGCATTGGAATTTGTCAAGTTTGTTGCAATATAACCTGTAGTAGAGTTACTCCATGTGGTGTTTGTATCTTCAAATTCAGTAGATCTTTTATTTAATGGCACTGGATCACGAATATTATCATCATTATAATCAAAATCGTATACTATATCGAAATTGAAACGATCTTTATTGATCTTTTTGAGGTCAGATGCATCGAAGAAACCTTCGAAGATTTTTTCAATTTCTTCTGGGGACTTGAAATCACCAGTACTTGCAGCTTCAAACTTCATGAATTTTTTGTCATCCCAATCATCATCATATTTATTTTCATTCCAAGAGTCATCAAAATCCTTCCAAGCATCCCATTCACCCCAATAATCATCATCATCATCAAATCCATCACTTAAAAGTTCACCTAAAATCCAACTTTTCTTTTCACTAAGTTTTTTCAAATATAAAATGATGTAGATTGGGATTTTTTTTAATCTTTTGGCTAAAAAGTATAATCTGTATAAAATTTCAGTTAAAAGGTAACGAATTTCCCAAATGATCTGAAGTATGATTTTGATGAATAACCTTATTAAAACTTTTAATCTCCATAAAACGTTGAATGGGAAATTCTTGATAAATTTCACAATAATTCTGATAATACAATATTTGATATGTCTTATGATTCTTTTGATCTTTTCAATAGTTTTGATCACCACAAAGATTGCAATACTACTTTTACTCTTCAAGATCTTTTTAGCTTTAAATACTTTATAAATAAGTCTAGTCTTTTCAACAGCATCTTCAACTTTATGGATCACTTTCTTTACAGCACCAGCGGCTTGAACTAAGTCCTCTAATTTTTCAGTTGGTGTTAAACCTGTAACATCTTCAAGAAGGAAATCTTGTAAAAGTTCATAGTCTTCATCAGGATTCCAATACTGTTTGAAATTTTCCCCTGCATCTTTTGGTTTATAAGATGATTGCAATTCAGCGGAGCCGCTCTGTTCAGCTCCAGGCAAAGGACCAACTAGACCTTGATCAACCACTTGATCAGCATCTTCTTCAACCGTGCCAACACTAACATCATCGACCTTTCCAGCCAGCCCAGAATTGACATTGTCCTCTTCTGGAAGGAGTCTTTTGTGTAAAGGTGAAGGAACTGTGAGACTATCAGAGCTCATGACTTGTTCATAATATTCTTGGTTTTCGATTAAAATGTCAGCCGTTTCAACCATTTCATCTGGGGTAAGACTAACCAAAATTCTAGAGAAATGCAATAAACGTTGATATATATTTTCAAGTTCATTATTCAATTTGAATATCTGCTTTTCAAGTTCTTCAAACGCCATATCTTCCAATTCCTCTTTAGAATCACTCAATCTCCAAGTCAATTCTCTAAACTTTTCCAAATGAACAGGATCATTACCAGGATTCAAGACATCATAGCCTTCACTTAAGAACTGAAGAACTTCATCACCATCAATAAATGTTGTAACTGAGAATCCATCTTTAAAAATTCCAGCTATAGTAATATCACCAATGTCTTCAACAACATTTTGTTCTTCAGCTTGTGAACATACAAACCTCAGAATAAAACTAAGCACAAAGAAGCCAAAGCACCTGTTCAAAAACATGATGTTTGAATATGGAGTGAGCTTGATTCAAGATAAAGGATAGTTCTTGAAGAAGGAAGAGATTTGAATTTTGATGGCGGTTAATTTAATTTTTTTTTTGAAATGTTGAAGATATATTCAGCGGCTAATTCAATTTTTACTAATTCCTTATCATCTCATTTATTATTCATTTATTTGGAAAACCTGGTGTTGATTTTAACTTCAAGTTCTTTTGAATACTCATCCAACTCATTACTGATATTTTCAAGAAGATCGACTTTGGATTCCAAGTTTTCAAGGTATTGAAGTGATTGATTCAAAGATTCATCTGTTTTGGTGGTTAACAATGGTGTTTATAAAACAAAAAAAGGAACACAAAACATACTTGATCTGCTTATATTTTCAGCTTTAACAGATAACTGCTTCATTTCTTCTTCCTTCTTGATATATTGCAAAGTGTTTGAGGTGTTGGTTTGTCTTAAGGAATCAATTTTAACTAATGTATTTTCAGTATCATCTTCCAAAACATGCTTCATGGATTCCAAAGAATCATTCACAAGCCTCTTAGTACGTTCTGATGCTACTGATGACATTCCCGGTGAGTTTTAAAAGAGGTGAAAGAAGGCTTTGCTGAAATATTTTGAGGATGCAATTTGGTTCCTGAATGTTGGTGATATGCTTCTATAGTTGACGTTCCAAAATCGCGGATTATTATAAAGAAATTAGCTAGAGGTTACATAAGCACTGTTTGGAAAGAATGCATGCTCTGCCTACACCTTATTCCATTCACTAGCTAGTAGCTAGTAGCTAGTACGCAGTATGCAGGCAAGCCACAAACCACCACATGATAGCTTAAGTTCCTGGACTGCCTGGGGCCTGGGCCTTGGGGCAAAGATTTCAAAGGATCATAAAACAGCTGGATCAATCCAGGGGTAAGACGTGAGATTGATCTTAATGTACATGGGTACATCTTTTGATCAAAAATTTTAACATTTACATGAGTTGATCTAATTACATGAGCGATCGATTATAAGATATGATCCATGAATCATAATTCAACTATATGGAAATTAGGCGTCCCCGCATTGTCCATTATAATCTAGTATATGTTTGTACGACGTATTGAATTCTGAGATCATATAACATATAAGTCATGATGTCTGTACAACATATTTTGAAGAACATTATCCTTCGAGATTCTAGCTATATTAACAGGAATCATATCGCATGCTATAATAAAATGATCTAATGTCCTGCTTGCATGAGTGCTGATGATTTATAACCAATATAATCGAGAATTGCATAGAATGTCTATATCATATAAGATCAAAGTTATACCGCAAAAGGAAGAGGTCTCAACTCGATCAACTTAAGGTTTATACAAGTGTACAATTAGTTACAGCACATGTGAATCGTGATTACAATATTACAATGGAAGCTGTACGTAAGATCAAGCCTTAACAAATATATAAACTGAAGTTCTCAACCAACCTTATACCACTTATATTATATGAGATCACAATATCATGGGCTCAGCTTAACAAGGTTTGAATTCTTTGTACACTATGCAGCCCAAATCTCAACCATGAAAAATCCGCTCAACGATATCGATGTGGTTTAAGGTACACATTCAACGTACAAACTTAGTAGTTAGTACGTGGGAAATTGAGTCATGAGGAACAATTTATACTAATAGACATCCAAGCTACTATAAGACACATTGGAATGGTATGTTGGCTTCAATTAAGATCAACTACTTCTAATATCTGAGATCCATGGACCATGAGTTTGAATTAGGAGTACGCTAGCGTATCTCTTTGCGGCAGTGTGTCTATTTCCATGCGTCAAAATGCAGATTTAAAATTAATTTATCAGTTGTCGAAAAGTTAAAAGAAATATTTTGTAACAAGTACAAAAGATGAACTTTTATTTCTACAAGGTGATTAAAATACAACAAATCTTATGAACTTAGTCTTATTCAATTCTTTATTTTAATATCATAATCCAATTTCAACATCTTGGTGCTACAACCATGTCTATAGGACGAGTGATACAGTTAGTGAAAAACGTGCTACGGTCCAGGTTATCCATCATTTCCTTATTGTTTGTTTTCATATTATTCCAGATCTATTATTACAAACTTAACTTCAGCAATGATTTATACTACTTAAAAGGTGAAGAAACAGAAGAAACATTCATAAATAGACTTAAAGGTGTAAATAATGGGAATAAAGTTTATGTCAATGATCATAATTCAGACATCTCAGAAGCCTATACAAATCTCATAAAAGATTACGGAGAAACTTTCAATAATTACCCATTTCATGAAAAATGCTCCATTTATTTTGACTCATTATACAAAACAGATCATGATTGGGCTCTGACAGATTTCCATGATTTACCATATGATGGTGGTATTTTTGAACGTAAGGGTAATTTCATAATGAATAGTTTGAAAACTTACAAAAATAAAAAATACAAAGATATGGATCCTGAAGAATTTAAAAAGATGGCTGACGAACAAAATTTGAACAAAGTTTTCGAAGTTGATTATCAAAGAGCAGTCAGAGAGACAAAAGATACTGAAAGAAAATTAGTTGATGCATCAACACATCTAAGAGTTTACGGTGCTTGTTATTTAGATCAATACGGCACATTAAACACACTGAAATCAGATCCAAAAATTGAGCAACAATGTCTTGATATAGAGATGAGAATGTTCCCTTGGTTTAGTAGAAGAATGCCAAAATATACTAGATGGGATGGAACAGTAAAATATTCAATGCCAATAATGTCCGAATATACAGACCAAAAATATGAATATAATCCAATTGTTAGTAATTGTTTTATGAAAAGTTTGAGAAGTCAATTGAATGGTAAAGGTATTACAATCAGTGCTAAAGATAGTCATTTTGGCCAATTATCAGGATTGTTACCATTATTAAGAGCATTAGGTAATAAGCTTCCAATGGAAATTGTTCATAAAGGTGATATGAGTGAAAAAGTTCAAAACAAATTAATCGAAATAGCTCGTATGGATACACCAGATTTAACCAAGGTTGAAAATTTAAATCATATATTACAATTAAGAAATATTACAAATTTTGATGAAAAAAACAAAACACAAATGGATATTTTATTTCCAAAACAAGAATTATGGTTTGTTAATGTTCAAAATGCAATTTCAGGTAGTTATCAAGGTAAATTTAATAACTATGCTAATAAATTATTAGCATATTTTTTCAATTCTTTCCAAGATTGTATTTTGATGGATACAGATACAATTCCATTAGTTGAATTAGAAGCTAAAATTTTAGGATCAAATGCTTATAAAGATCATGGTGCTTATTTCTTTAAAGATCGTGAATTATATCAACAAGGCGCAGTTTCAGATAGGAAATTTTTCTCCAAATTAATGCCATCTAAGATTGATACTGCATTTTTCGGTATTCCTAAAACAACAGATTTTACAATGAAGAATAGATTCATTGGGGGTGGATTCTGGCATTATATGGAATCAGGTATTGTAGCAATTGATAAGGTTAAACATTTTACTGGTGTTTTAACAACATTACAATTACAAATATGGGCACCTGCAGCTTCAAAAGTCTGGGGTGATAAAGAATTATTTTGGTTAGGTTTATCCATATCTGGTGATGAAAATTATTATATGAATAAATTAGCTTCTGGATCAGTTGGCCAATTAACACCAAAGAGTCAACGATTGTTCGAAGGTAAAGAATTAATTGGTAGAGAATTATGTTCAACACATCCAGCTCATGTTTCAAGTGAAGATAATTCAACTTTATTATGGTTTAATTCTGGATTTCAATTCTGTAAAAAAGAAACAGCTAGACAAGATATGCAAAAAGGTTATTTTAAAAAAATACCAAGTATCACAACAGTGGAAGAATTAGACTTCCATTATAAGAATTTTATCAAGATTGATGCAGTTATTGTTCCTAAACATGCTGAATATTATGAAAATCGTAATAATGGAGAAAATCCAAGAGGTTGGGGTTTAATGAATGAATGTGGTGGGTATATGTTTTGTGCATATGATAAAATTGCAGGTAAAGATGATAAAGAAACAAATGGGTTACTTGTCGAATTTGATGAAGAACAACGTAAAATTTATGACTTTTATGGATCGGTTTGGATACATGGTCAATCAATTTTTTCAAAACCTATAGAAAACTAAATTATATCACTTCATCTAGATTAGATCTAGCATAAAAACATCCATGCATTTTTTTTATATTCTATCAATAAATGAACAGAGTATCATATTATTACATAGACCAACTATATTATGGTATATATTAGCTGTTTGTTTCCCTGTGACCTGTGACCCTCTCCATTTGAATTATAATGAGACTAATTAATGAGGTTCAATATTTTGTTTTTGTTTTTGAATTTTTTGAGGTTTTCAATAATATATCATAATATTTATTAAGGCCTGATTTGCACTTTTCTTGTAGATATTATCGTCTATAGCTATTAAAATAAGCTGAGCTACAATATTGTTTTGTCATGATGGTCTAACTAGTGTAACCCAGCATTCAAAAGTCATAGATTCAAGCTTGAAAATTGACATAATTTTAGGTCCTGAAGACCCACGAATATATAATCAATATAGCATAATTGTATCATGAGTCAATACTTCAGTGTGACTTCTGCAGCAAATATTGAATCAAATTGTAAATAGTATATAGATTGATCTTATTAATACCAAATTGGGAAACTAGGCAGGAGTTACATAATCAGCGCTAAAGAATTTGATCAAAAGAACTCATTGTTTATTTTTTATTGTTCAATCAACTTCATACAAGTCACAAGTTTCCAATTACACGAGCTTCAGATCATCCAAAATCTAATCATGAAAGATATGATTTATGGATTTTAGAAACGTTTTTCGTTCTCTATTGCTTGAACTTTGCACTATTAACCATGTTCCATGGCCACGAATCCTGATGTCTCACTTGTTGTTTCTATTGATCAGTTGATTAAATATTGGAATTTTTCGCTGAAGCCTGAAACAGAAATGCTAGACACTTGCTAGTACAACAGGCTACAGCACATTATGAGTAGCTTGTCAATCAGATTTCCATTAATTTCATCGTGTTTTGTGTTTTTTTATACCAGTTGTTTTCGCCACATGATGGGTTCATAATATCAAGGTATGCAGTTCAAATCTCAACCACCACAACTACAAGTATAGACGTTAGCCTCAAATTTTCACAACTGATAAAAATATAACAATCTGTCTATTCAATACTTCATTTGCTCAAACTACTCATCATATATTAAGATATCCGTACTAAATTAGAGAATATTCCAATATACCACCATTTGGTACTACCAACCATGTACATAGGACGAGTGATACAGTTAATCAAAAACATACTACGGTCCAGATTATCCATCATTTCACTATTGTTTGCCTTCATATTATTTCAGTTATACTATTACAAACTTAACTCCAATAATGATTTATATTATTTAAGAGCTGAAGAAAAAGAAGAAATACTTATAAATAGACTTAAAGGTGTAAATAATGGGAATAAAGTTTATGTCAATGATCATAATTTAGATATCTCACAAGCTTATACAAACCTCATAAAAGATTATGGAGAAACTTTCAACAATTACCCATTCCATAACAAATGTGCCATTTATTTTGACTCATTATACAAAACAGATCATAATTGGGCCTTGACAGATTTCCATGATTTACCATATGATGGTGGTATCTTTAACAATAGGGAAGGTTTCATAAAGAATAGTTTAAATACCTACAAAGAAGAAAAATATAAAGATATGGATCCTGAAAAATTTAAAAAAATGGCTGATGAACGAGAGTTAAACAAAGTTTTTGAAATTGATTATCAAAGAGCAGTCAAAGAAACGAGAGATACCGAAAGGAAACTGATCGATGCATCAACACATCTAAGAGTTTATGGGGCTTGCTATTTGGATCAATACGGTACATTGAACAAACTTAAATCAACACCAAAAATTGAACAACAATGTCTTGATATAGAAATGAGAATGTTTCCTTGGCTAAGTAGAAGAATGCCAAAATATACTAGATGGGATGGAACAATAAAATTTTCAATGCCAATAATGTCTGAATATACAGAACAAAAATATGAGTACAAACCAACTGCTAATAATTGTTATATGAAAAGTTTGAAAAGTCAACTGAATGGTAAAGGTATCACATTAAGTGCTAAAGATAGTCATTTCGATCAATTGTCAGGATTATTACCATTATTAAGAGCTCTAGGAAATAAACTTCCAATAGAAATTGTACATAAAGGTGATATGAGTGAAGAAGTTCAAAACAAATTAATTGGAATAGCTCGTATGGATACACCAAAATTATCTAAAATTGAGAATTTAAATCATGTATTACAATTAAGAAATATTTCAAATTTTGATTCCAAAAATAAAACTCAAATGGAACTACTTTTCCCTAAACAAGAATTATGGTTTGTTGATGTTCAAAATGCGATTTCAGATAATTATCAAGATAAATTCCATACATATGCTAATAAATTATTAGCATATTTCTTCAATTCTTTCCAAGATTGTATCCTGATGGATGCAGATACAATTCCATTAGTTGATCTAGAGACTAAAATCTTAGGTTCAAATGCTTATGAAAACCAAGGGGCTTATTTCTTCAAAGATCGTGAATTATATCAACAAGGTGAAGTTTCAGATAGGAAATTTTTCTCAAAATTAATGCCATCTAAAATTGATACTGCATTTTTCGGTATTCCGAAAACAACAGATTTTACAATGAAGAATAGATTCATTGGGGGTGGATTCTGGCATTATATGGAATCAGGTATTGTAGCAATTGATAAGGTTAAACATTTTACTGGTGTTTTAACAACATTACAATTACAAATATGGGCACCTGCAGCTTCAAAGGTTTGGGGAGATAAAGAGTTATTTTGGTTAGGTTTATCCATATCTGGTGATGAGAATTATTATATGAATAAATTAGCTTCTGGATCAGTTGGTCAATTAACACCTAAGATTCAAAGGTTATTTGAAGGCACAGAATTGATAGGTAGAGAATTATGCTCGACACATCCAGCTCATATATCAAGTGAAGATAATTCAACTTTATTATGGATCAATTCTGGTTTCCAATTTTGTAAGAAAGAAAAAGCTCAAGAAGATATGGAGAAGGATTTTTTTAAAAAATTTCCAAATATTAAATCAGTAGAAGATTTAGATCATCATTATAAAAATTATATCAAAATTGAAGCAGTTATTGTTCCAAAACATGCTGAATATCATGAAGATCGTCATAATGGAGAAAATTCAAGAGGTTGGGGTTTAATGAATGAATGTGAGAGATATCTGTATTGTGCATATGATAAAGTTGCAGGAAAAGATGATGAAGAAACAAATGGGCTACTTGTTGAATTTAGTGAAGAACAACGTAAACTTTATGATTTTTATGGATCGGTTTGGATAAATGGTCAATCAATTTTTTCAGAAACATTACATGAAAAAGAGTAAAACTACTACATTAAGGGAGTTGATATCTATTATGGAAATCTGCATTTTTAATTCTATAAATAAATAACAAAAATAATATTATTACATACAATGACACAAATCAAATGAACAAGTTTTTCTCTGTCTTTGTACTCCAATTTGTTTGAAGTTGATTATTTATTATTTAATTAAGATGATATAAAACTTTCAATAATTATTGATCACCAAGTTTCTTGTAGATATCTATTATTTGCTTCTAATTCTAATAAATATTGTTTTGCTTGATTTTTACTTAATCCTTTAGTTTCCTCCAAGATAGTTTCAAAAGTCATACGAACTTGATTTGGCATTTTACCCGAAGATCCACAAATATAAATAACCGCATTACCATGAGTTAATAATTCTGTAATTAATTCAGATTGTAAATATAATTGATCTTGAACATAACCACCATTTTCTCTTGAAAAAGCAGTGAATAGAGTTAATCTTTCTTTTTTTTCTAATTCTTTCCATTCTTCACCATAAAGGAAATCCTTGTTATGATATCTATTACCCAAAAATAAATATAATTGATTTTTATTAGCATTAAAATCGAAAACTCTTTGATGAATTAATGATCTCATTGGTGCAATACCAGTACCTGGTGCAATCATTATTATTGGAACTTCAGGTTTTGGTAATTTTAAATTATTTCTATCAATTCTAAAAATTATTTCATCACCTTCTTTTAAGTTTTTCAACCAGGATGTACATAAACCTTTTCTAATTCTTCTAATCATTGTTTTATATTGCACCACAGCGATAGTTAATTCAACTTTTGAAGAATTTGGTGAAGATGCAATGGAAAATAATCTTGGTTTAATTAATGGGAATAAATCCAAAATATATTCTAATGGTATTTTAACCGAAAAAAATTCTTGTATAGTCTCTAAGATAGATCTTCTTGGTCTATTTGCATAATTATATAATTCTTCAGGATCTTTATAAGAACTAAATTCTTTTAATTTTTCTCGTTCTCTTTCATCAGATGCAAAATGATATAAAAGGGCGAAAAATGATCTTCTTGGTATGGATCTCAAGTCTAAATGATGTGTAAATAATGATCTTAATGTAGGTGTTTTGATGAAAGAACCATCAATTAATGGGTAAGGTTCTTCAATTAAGATTCTTCTATCAGCAATTTCTGTCCAGCCTTGAATTTCTAATAAAGAATCAACTTCTTTAGGGTCATTAGTTGGGAATAAAGATATAGTATCACCTGGTTGATAATTTAATTGTTGGGTTTTATCTAATATTGAAAAATGTCTAACATCTTGGAAATGATCATCTGAAGTAATTCTAATGTTTTTCTCTACTGTTCCAATTCTTAAATTTGGATCATTTCTTGTTAATGCAATTTCTTTTATCAAAGTATCAGTTTTCCTTTTAGGTTTTTTCAAATCAATTGATATTTGAAATTTTGGTGGTAATTTAACATCATCAGGTACTGGAGTTTGACCTAAAGGTAATGGGAATTTTTCATTTAAATTTTTCAAAAGTAAATTTTGAAATTCAATATAATAACCATCAGCACCTTGAGAACTTTGTTCATCACTTTCAGCTCTTTTACTAAATTCCACACCACCTAATTGTAAAATTCTATTATGTAATTTTTTAACAGCCCAATTAAATTTTGGATAAGAAGAATCACCAAGACCAAAAGTTGTAAAATATAAATGATTTAATAAATCATTGGGTAGTTTCCTCTTGAGCATAAATTTCCAAAACTTTCTTGAATTTTTAGGGAATTCACCTTGACCAGTTGTTGAACAAAAAATAATTAATAATCTAACTGATAATAAATTTTTCAAATCATAATCATCTAAAGAAGATAAATGAACTTTGAAATGTAGTCTTTCCAAACTCCTCGTCAGCGTTTCTGCAAAATCTTGTGCATTCCCAGTCTCTGAACCGAATAGGACAGTTATTGATCTGTCCATTATTGCCTCTATAATGTCTATATGTATATGAAATCAAGTATTATAAGCAATGAATATTAATAGCAGCAGCAGCAGCAGCACAAAGGGTCCAAGGGGTATGAATATGAGATGAATGCAATGCAATGATGAATAAATAATAGATGGACTTCCCCAACAGATGCCTATGAACAACACTAAAACCTTTTAAATATTTCAATATATCCAAATATATTTTTCGTAATCTTGATTATGTCTCTTGATATTGGTCAAAAAAATGAAAAATAAGCGGAAAAATAAAATCAGAAAAGATTACGTAATTACAAATCAATTACGAGGATTTGATCACATGATCTTGGCACTTTGAGTTCCGAGGGCGGTTCAAAAAAAAAGGTTTTTAAATTTCTTTGAAAAGTCGACGAATTCAAACTTCATTGTTACAAGAGGCAAGTTCATACAATCTCTATTTGAAGAGTAATAAGTTATAGTACAATGTTTAGAACAGCATTAAAAGCCCCAATTACCAACACCCTAAGGTTCCAAGCCGCAAGACAAACCAGATCAATTGCCCCAGGTTTTGTCAGATTCTATAGTGAAGAGGCTAAAAAAACTGAAGAATCAGAAACTAAAACAGAAGAAACTAATGAAGCTACTAATGAAGCTACTGATGAAGTTTCTCAATTAAAAGCAGAAGTTGAAAAATCTAAAAAAGATTTAGCTGTTTTCAAAGATAAATATTTAAGAGCCATTGCAGATTTCCAAAATTTACAAGGTTCAACAAAACGTGAAATTCAAAAATCAAGAGATTTAGCATTAAAATCATTTGCAAAAGATCTTTTACAAACTGCTGATACTTTTGATATTGCTTTAGCTACTTTAGAAAAAGATGCTGCTGATCCAGAAAATCGTTCAAAAGAAATGAAGGATTTAGTTGAAGGTGTTAAATTAACTCAAAATATGTTCAATAATACTTTGAAAAGACATGGTTTAGTTAGATATGATCCAGTTGATGTTCCATTTGATGCTAATATCCATGAAGCTGTTTTCTTTGTCCCACAACCAGATAAAGAACCAAATTCTGTTTTCTTTGTTCAACAACCTGGTTATTATTTAAATGAACGTGTTTTACGTCCAGCTAAAGTTGGTGTTGTTAAAGGCCCAGAATAAAATTAATGACTTTAAAACTACAAATATTGAGCAAAATGAACAACTTTGTTCTCTATTTTCATGACTATTAATGCTTCCTGTATATACAATATGTCTTTTATGAATATTTTTTGATTATTTCTATTTATTTACAAACAGTGTAATGATTTTATCTCAATTCAACATCAAATGAATTTGCAACAGTATCACGAATTTGATCTTGTAAAACATTAACTTCATCATTAGTTAAAGATCTATCCATTGATTGATAATTAATTCTATAACATTGACTTATACGACCAGTTTTTGGATGTTTAAATTCATCAACTAATGAAACATTTTCCACTAAATCTCCTGCAATATCTCTAACAATTTCCATTAAATCATTAATATGAACTTTTGAATTTTCTGATGGAATCCAAAATGAAACATCTCTTAAAGTACCTGGATATTTAGAATATGGTTTAAAAGTAGTAATTTCACCTTGAGAAAATTGTTTTGCAAATCTTTCATCTAAAGTCCAAAATAATCTAATATCAGGAATACCAAATAATAACATTGCAATTCTATCTAATCCAATACCAAAAGCCCAACCAATATGATTTTCAATCCCTGAATTTGTTAAAACTTGTTCTTGAACAACACCACATCCACAACATTCTAACCATTCACCTTTCCAAAAAACTTCAATCTCCCAACTTGGTGTGGTCCATGGGAAATATGCCTCGACCCATCTAACTTTCAATGGTTCATTAAGATAAGGTTCTTTATTACCACTTAATTTAGCAGATTTTTTAGCTTCATTGAAAACTTCATTAACTAATAATTCTAAAGTTTTTTTCAAATGTAAACCAACTAATTCAGTTTCTTTATCAGTCATATGTGATTGTTTTGGGTTTGTCTTTGGATGATAAGGTGGATTTGGATCTTCCACTATAATATCAATTTGAGGAATTTCAGAAATATCTTCTTCTAATTTGGCTATTAAATTATCACCATGTTCTGTCTTGGACCAAATTCTTGCACCTTCCATTTGATGGAATGCAGGATAATGAGTTCTATCAATTTCATCTCTTCTATAAACATCAGCAGATATGAAATAACCTGGTGTAGTATTTTTTTGGAAACATTCATTTTCATGAGCAGATGTATGAGTTCTTAATAATGTGGATTTATTAATATAATAAGTATCTGTCTTAGATCTACCTGGATGATCTTCAGGGAACCCTAATGAATCAAAATTTTCTTGAGTTGTTACAACAGGTTTAAATTGATTATAAAATGTATAACCCATGTCTTTAAATCTATTTTCAATTAAATTTCTTAAGATCCCTATTGGATGATCATTGTTTAAGTGTAATTGTCTTTGTGTTAACCCTAAGATTGAAGGTGTTACGTTTGTCCATTCATCTGTTTTATAAGTTTTACCATCAATTTCTAAAACTTCAGGTATTACTCGTTCTATTGAAAACCTTGGTTAATATTTATGTCTCATTGAAATTTTGATCCCAAAAATACTCACTTGTTGAAGCGAAACGCACAGAGCCTAGTAAAGATCTACTCAGAAGTCTAGCTTGAATCATAATAAACCAAAATACTTTCTTATTTCCCAAGTATTTCCCCTTTAAATTGGTTTTATTTCCCTTATGAATTATGAATTTGTTTCCCAAATTTCCAAAAGTTTATACTTTTGTACCGGAATTTACCCTAAACCACCAGTTCCGAGGCCAAAGAATCTTCAATTCGTTGAAAAAAATCATAAAAGTATACAAAATAATGGGTATTAAAGATCTTGAATAGTCGAGAAACTTGGAGATATTGAAGCTATAAGTGTTCAAAGTAGACTGGATCAACAATGTTTGCGTTAACAGGGTTCAACACAATCAAATCTAGTTTCCTACAGAGACCAACTCTTGGGTTAACCAACTTACCAGTTTTACAACAACAATTTGGTAAACGTTATTCACATGAATTAGCACCAAGATTTAAAAAAATTCAAAAAGCTCAAAAAGGTAGAATTCCAGTACGTACAGGTGGATCTATAAAAGGTTCAACTTTAAAATTTGGTACTTATGGATTACGTTTAAAAAGTGAAGGTGTTAGATTAAAAGCTATTCATTTAAAAGAAGCTGATGTTTGTATTATGAGAATGATGAGACCTATTGGTGGGAAACTTTGGAGAAGATTAAGTACAAACATTGCTATTTGTATTAAAGGTAATGAAACTCGTATGGGTAAAGGTAAAGGTGCTTTTGATCATTGGGCTGTTAGAGTTCCAACTGGGAAAATATTATTTGAAATTGCAGGTGCTGAATTACATGAAAAAGTTGCTCGTGAAGCTTTTAGAAAAGCTGCAACAAAATTACCTGGATTATATGAAGTTGTTACAATAGATCATAAACCAAGAGTTGGTTTAGATGCTTTTAAAGATGAAAAAGATACAATTAATTATTTTGAAGAAGCTCAAAAAAAACCATCAAAAGAATTATTAAATAAATTAAAATCTCAAGAAGAAATGTATAAATTATATAAAGGTCGTTAGAGGGCCTTAGGGGGAAAAGCCATTCACTTGTATATAATAAAGATTGTTACGATATAGATATAATGTAGTAATTATTTATTATTTTTTATACCCCTTTTTCAATTGCAACCATAGTTTTAGCAACAAACCCTTCTAAATGGAAAATTGATTTTGTACCTAAACTTAATCTTTCATCAAATATTGAAGCTAATTCCACAATACTAGGTTTTATATTATCATTAACTAATTTTAATAAATCAAATGTTAAATTTTTTAAAATTAATTTTGGTGGTATACAATGAGAAATTAATTCATAAAAAACAGTTCTTGATGATGATATTCTTGCAACATTACGATCTCTTGAAATGTTTGATGCTAATTTTAGGATAACTCCTTCCCAATCTAATGTAATCATTGGTGTTGTTGTTTTTAATTCTTGATTTTGCATAACTAAAGCTTCAAAATTTAATAAAGCTCTACGTAAATTTCTTTTACTTGCAATTGCCACTCTATTCAAAATTAATTCACGTTCTTCTTGTGATGATGGTAATGAAACTTCTTGTTTTTCACTTAATTTGTCTAAAATTTTAGTAATATCTTGTAAATTTGGTGCAGAAATTCTAATTAATAAAGTTCTTGATTTAATTGGTGCAATAATATTTGAAGTGGTATTTGAAATTAATACTAATCTAATATTTTTGGAATATTTTTCCATAGTTCTTCTTAAGGCAGCTTGTGCATCTCTTGATAAAGAATCAGCTTCATTTATAATAACAACTTTAAATCTATGTTTCCCACTAAAATCAACTTGTTCAGTTTGTGCAATTTCTTTCAAAAGATCTTGGATAACAACTCTATCATTATTCCCCAAATCACTTGGTGTAATTTCCATATGATATGGACTTGAAACAACATTAAATTCTAATTTACGATTTGTTGAAGTTGTAAAAGTACGAACATCAATCTTCATTTTCTCAACACCAGCACCAAATAATTCATGTAAGACGGCAATGACTCTTGTCTTTTTACCAGCACCTGAAGGTCCATATACTAATAAATGAGGGAAATCACCACTTGAAGCCTGGTATTGATGTTAGTATTTAGATCTTGATCGATCTAAGTTTAATTAATACCCACTAAAGCCTTGAGTCTTTTGGAAACATCAAAATGATAATCAATGGTATCTAAGGTATGAGGTCTGTATTTATCCACCCACAATGACATTATGAGATAATTGTATTCTTTAGTAACGGCTGTACTGTATTAGCTAATGGTCTTTTGGATTAATACTCGTTAAATAAATTTCATGACGCGATGATTTTTTTACGTGTATACTTGAAAAACCGCGACTCATACAAAACTAGGAAACAACCAATATCGAACTAAACAAACTACAAAGCTAAACTTATATTGAACTTATATTTATTCATATTTATAATTGTTATGTTCCATTATAACTTTGATTTATTAGAATATTCATTTGCCAATTTAACAACAATCTCAGCTAATCCATAAGAAGCTTGATAACCAGCCCCAGCAATCCCATAATTATGAATTATAGAACCAACTCTTTCAATACGAGGACCACCATTTCTAGCAGGTCTTAAACCAACATTCTCTCTAATAATATCAATCTCTTCAGGATTCCCAATTGATGGATCAACTAATTCTGGTAAATATTTCTTAGCTCTTGAAACCATCCTTTTAGTTAATCCAGAATCTGGTTGAGAATTCCAATCATTTGGTTGGAAAGTTCCACCAATAATGGAACCACCTTCTTTTCTTGGGAATATATAAAGTGATTCATTAACAAAGCCTTTTATTGGGACTGATATTTGTTTTGATGCACTATTTCTAACCCAAAGAATTTGACCTCTTATAGGGAAAACCTGGGGGTCTTCAACACCTGGTAAGAGTCTTGATAATAATCCTGTACAATTTATAACTAGTTGTGCTGGTAGTCCCGTGTGATGTAAATTATATGAATCATTAATATGTGAAACATGTTTTCTTTGAAGAGTCCCACCTAATCTAAAGATGCGTTGAAGTAAATAGTTTAAATAAAGTGTTGTTGATATAGTAACTGATAAATATTCTTGACCTGCAACAATTTCATCATCAGTATCATTACTTTGAACTTTAGGTAACTCTTCTTTTTCTAGATCTCTAAAACCTTGGACAAAATTTTTATACCATGGATAAGTCACTTCACCACCATTCTTTTTCAAATCACCTCTAGTAAAATATTTATGATGAGGAATTTTAATAACACCAGCACTATTAGATTCTTGTTCAGATAACCTAATGAATTCAAGATAACCAGGTTTATCTAAATCTTGTAAAAAAGTTTCACTTTTTGAAGCAAAACTACTCCAATTAGCACCAGCAAATGGTGAAGTATAATGGATATCTAAATCACCTGGGATGTTTCTCCCTACAATGGAGACATCATAACCTTGTTCAAGTAATTTTAAAGCAGAAGTTAATCCAATGACACCAGCACTGTGGATAGTTGTTAGTTTATGGTTTATGGTCCTTATTTAATACCCAGAGATACTACATACCCTAATACCACTACTCTTGGACCCATTTTTCTATAACCTTCACCTCTAATTGAATATAATTGAATCCAAGTTTATCTATCAAATAATTACTTGAGTCATATCTGAAGAAAGTGTGGATGCTTATCATGAATAATATGATAATATGCAGCTGATCGACAGCCCATTACCCAGTCGTTAACGTAATCAAAGATTATGTTTTCCCCTTTCACCAATTTTACAAATTGATTACTATACTACAAAACTTTTTAAATGTTGATTTCTGTTGGATAGCAGTAGCAGCATAGTGTTGTATTTCATCATACCTTCAAAGCTTTTTACGGATGTAAAAGACCCATGAGTTGAGTCATTGTCGATTCCAGGAATGTATTGCATTCAAATCTAATGTTTTCAAAGTGTTTTCAGAGTGAGCGAGGGTGTCTATCTAAATACATCTAGTTCTACTCATGTACAACGTAATAATCACAATATTGTTTATATGATTTTGATATTTGATGAGCAGTTAGATTCAATCTTTATAATACAATGTTTGTTTTGTTTTTCCATATAATCGTTGTAGTAATATCACCATGGAGATAATTATTATAAATTGATTTTGTGTTTGTGTTTTGTGTTTGGGTCATTAATTCTCTATATAAGCAAAGCAAATACAATGATATCCTCATGAACTTTGATATTGAAGTTTATTTGGAACTGCAATCAATAGTGGATGCATTGAATACAGGATTTTCAAATTTGAAGTTATAAATTCTCACCTGCGCCAAATAGCATTATGTGTTTTAAATATATGAATCAAAGATGATTATTTGAATATAGTATTCTAATCTCTTGTTTTATATATTAGACCAAGTTTGAATACACATTTGAATTGATTTGATTGATTGGATCTAGTATACCTACATGACCATATCATAATCATATTCAAGTTGACAATTTTCAAATCATTTATAATTATATGTAGTAATTACGATCACAAGAAATACAAATTCATTCTTGTTGACCTTTTCATAAGTTAGGCTGCGTGCGTTTCTGGCATCAAATTTTTGAGACGGAACAAATCCATATAATAGTGCATAGCTTTAAATATTTAGTACGTCTCAATAGTCTAATCATTAACTACATGATAGTACTCACAATTGCCTACATGACCTTGATGGGATTGAAAAATTGAATTCAATCATTTTAATACAATGTTATTGTTTTCATTTGTTGTAGTAACCACCATATCGGAAATTTTCAATTTACTAAGTTCTGTGTTTTTGTGCCTGAGTTTTTGTGATCATGATTTTTCTATATATAAACTACAATATTTATAAAATATTCCTGAATATCAAGATCATCCCATTAACCTTTTACTTTATACGTATACATATAAATTGTTCCTTCGATAACAACCTTTTCTGGTCCAGATCTTGTGCTAGTTATGTTCATGACTTCAATGGGAAATGAATGCCATATATTATTTGGCCTTGAAGTTAGATTATATACAGGTTTAGCTGGATAAAGATGATTATTACAATCTCTTTTTCAATCATATACCCCACTTTAAATATACATTTGAATTGATTTGATAATTGAATCTAATATATCAGATACATGGACCATATCATAATCATATTCATATTAATAATTTTGAAATCATTATACGTAGTCATTAAATTAAACACGATATCATCATAACTCAAGATCTCTTTGACCAAAAAACCTTGATATGATCAATATAATAAAATCATTTGTAGCTCTTGATAATTCAGAAACTATATCATCCCCCTTTAAATTTATCTTTTTAGCTCTTTGACCTAATTCTCTTAAATTTGACATTTCATTACTTAGTAAAACATCACTTAATCTAACCAAAAGGGCATAAATCCATTGAGATATCTTTTCAGGTGTATTATTATTTAACCATTTAGAAGAATATATTATTAGCTTAAGGTTTAATTCATGATCAATATTTGAAATTATTGCCTTGGTTGGTGGGTTTTGTATGAAATATGATCTCCATTCTGTAAAGTTTTCTGGGAATATGAAACTTGATGGGATTTCTAATGTTCCAGGTTCTGGTAATTTAGATCGTTGTTCTAGATATTGATTTAATACTGTGGTTTTGTATTCTTCAAGTATTTGATCCTTTTTATTTATTTCTTGTGGTTCTATAGATTGTTGTGATATTGGATTTGATGTAATTGATGGTTTATTCTCTTTGGAAAACATAACACTTGAACTTGATTCTGCTTGATGTCTAACCATTGCTAAATAAGTTTCTGCATCTGTTGGTATCGTGTCATTTGTTATAATTTGTAAAATTTCTTGTGATATTGGTAATGCTCTATATTGACCAAATATTGGATCTAATTGATTGGAATTTGAACTTGAACTCTGGGAATCCTGGGTTGATTGTCTTTTCCTTTGATTGTTATTCTGTTTCTGTTTTCTTTTGGTCATTGTGGTGTATTTGTTGTGTTATGAATTGTGTATATTTTGTTGATGTTTTTGGTTGATCTTTTGGTTCTTATATAGAAAAAAAAATCATTTTGACTCAAAATTTCCATCAAAACCATGAAATCTTTCAAAACAACAAACAAATGTCCAAAAGAAAATATGAAAATGATGAAGTAGAAACAGAAACACTCTCACCACTGAATACAACACAACCATTGATTTATTGTGATTCACCACCTTGTAATCATCAATCATTCACCAATCAATTAGATTATGAATCTCATTATTTAAATAATCATAAATATAAATGTTTGTCATGTCATTCCAAATTCCCCAGTGAACATTACTTGGATTTACATCAGACAGAATTTCATGATCCATTTATTCAAATTCAAAAAGAACAGGGGATAAAAGTATATAAATGTTTGGAAATGAATTGTGAAAAAATATGTTCTTCACCATTTAAGAGAAGATTACATTTAATTGATAAACATGGATATCCAAAAGATTTTAATTTTACAATTATTAAAAATGGATTATTTAAAAATCAATCATTATTAAAGAAATAAATATATACTTATTTTATTCATTTCCCATTTGTTGGAGCTGGAGCTGAAGCTGGTGTTGATGTTGATGCTTGAGTTGGCGCTGGTGTTGGTGTACCATTTGTTGAATTCCCATTATCCAATTTTCTCTTCTTCTTCTTTTTCCCAATAACTGCAGGTTTTCTTTTCAACTTCATAATAACATGATTATCAAATTCACTATCACAAGCAGGACATTTATTATCCTCTGGAATTAAACTTAAGATACAAAGACAAACACTACATACAAATCCAATATCAACAATTTTACCAGTCAAAAAGCATGAAGCTCTAAAATCAATATCACCTTTGTTTGGTTTTGTTAATATGTTCTTGATGGAGGGATCTATGAATAATGCAGTAGTGAAATATTGAATTAATCCATCCATGTTTTCTATATGTAAATAAACTCCATTTGTTGCATCACTTGCTTGTTGTAGAAAAGTTGCATTTAAACCTAATTGACAAACATCTATAGAAACTTTCATCTTTTGTGCAGCAAATATACAATTCATTATTGGGATATATTTTAAATGTTCATCTTGTGATATATTAACAATCAAGATCTTAGCTTTCATAAGTGAGTCATTTGATTGGATCTTATTAATATATGTTAACCCAAGGGATAATGAACTTGATAAATGATTTTTTGGTGGTGTTGTGGGTATAGGTTCATTATATAAATTATATAAATTTTCCAATAATTTTTCATCAACAACTTTAAATTGTCTATACATTGAAGAATTAATATAATGTTTAGTATTATTATCTGTTTGTGATGCTTCAGGAGATATAGATCTTGATTCTATACCTTGTTGATCTTCAGCTTGTAATTCATCAGATCTTGTTTTGGGTCTTGAAGTTGATTCTTTTTGATTATTATATGGATATAAAAATTTTGCACCATCTGTATGACTTGCTATAATTGCAATTTGATTTGAATTATTCAGGGCAAGGTGAGCATTCATAGCAACCACAAGGGATTCTAACATTGATTTAATACTTAATTTATCTTCAATAGATTGCCATACTATTGGATTTGTATCAAGAATTATTGTTAATAATGAAGGTGAATCCTCTGGAAATATTGTTAGTATTGAGAGGCAAAAAAAAAGCAAGAGCGTTCACATACCACTTAGGAACTTATTCCCAGCTTCTGTGGTGAATGCCTTATCAGCAATAGCATCCATTGTTTAATTATTTTGAAGTTTGTTTTGTTTTGTCATTGAGTATAAAACAATTTGCTTAATTTTCAGTATATAAATTGCAACTATATATTGAAATCGCGACCATGGGCTACAAACCAGTATAACGACAAAACAACAAATTAAAACAATTTTATATAATAATAATACAATTTATATAATTCATAAGTAAGTATGGGTTGTGTTGTATTGATTGTATTGATTGGTCGGTCTATTCCCCCGACACAACAACACTTTCACTATGAGAATAAGTAACAACAACATCTTTTGAATCAGAACTCCATTTTAAACTTGTTATTAAATTATTTTCTAAATCATCATTTGGTATCAATGGTTGATATTCACCAATTAATTTTAATTGTTCATCAGGTAATAATAAATCTATACTAAAAATTGAAATTTCACCTTCAATATTCCCCACTGCAATTGATTTTTTATCTGGTGATAATTCACCATGTAAAATTGGTACACCATCCATTACTATTATTGAAGTTTGTTTACTGAAATTTATATCCCAAATTCTTAAAGAGCCATCTAGGGAACAACTTATTATAAAATCATTTGTTATCCAATCCGAATATGTTACTGGTTGAGAATGACCTGATAATAATGAACAATTATTGAATCCATTACCATTCCATATTCTTATAGTTCGATCATCTGATGATGTTAATAACATTGAATTTTCTTTGTTATATTTTATTGATGATATAGCTTTTGTATGACCAATTAATGTACCCCATGGTGTTTTATTATCAATATTGAAAACTAATACACTACCATTTAATCCTGGTATAATAAATTTTGAATCATCAATCCATGTTGCATCAATACCCAAGTTTATAGTTTCATCTGATTCATTATGCACAGTGGTTTCATTTTTTTTCAATAAATCTAAATCCATAATTATATTCCCTGTGGTAACATCCCATATAATTAAATTACTATTAATATCAGAACTTAATAAATATTTCCCCGATGGACTCCATTTTAAAATCAATATTGGAGAATGATGTAGGTATAATACATTAATTAATTTCCCATCTGCAGCCCATAATCTTAATTCACCAGATTCTACACCTGTAACTAATAAATTCCCCATTGGTGACCATTTTAATATTGTAACATCATTTGATGTATTAAATGAAGATGATGGAGGATGATTTAAGATTAATGGTTTGATTTCAGAATTTGGTAAAATTACTGCAATTTTGGCTCTTGCATCACTTAAACCAAATGATAATACTGTGGAAGCAGTTGGATTAAAATCAGAATAAGTACTTGGTTCAAATGTAAATTTTTTCTTTAAAATTTTAATAAAATCTGGTGATTGTTCTTTAACATCCTTGGTATCATGACCATTCTCATCCCCATTCATAACATGATCACCTTCTTTATCCTTGACTTCCTCATTTGTTTCATTTGGATCAATTTTTGCAAAACGATCTTTTGATTCTAAAGGTGGATTAATCCCACTATCAGCATTTAAAGCATGGAAAACACTAAATTTTTCATCATAAAACTTATCTTCTTGAACATCACCATTCTGTTTAACTAGTTGATCCGCTTGTGAATATAATATCCCCTTTTGTAATAAATTAACTAATGAACCTATTGGAATGGATTCACCATATCTCTTGTCGAATTTTTGCACTGTGGATTCATCAGAAAGAGCAAAAGCTGAAACTTCGAGTCCTGATTCTTGGAGATACCTCCATACGAGATAGTTGACTTCATCAGAGTTGATGGACATTGTGATCTTGTTGGTGCTGGTGATGTTTCCTTCTTTTTGGTGATATTCCTGTGTTTTTATACTTTTTGAAAATCCGTTGTTTATTTTTTTGAGAAATTTAAAATTGACACTTCAACAGATTTCAATCAAAACTATCAAAACATCAACAAAATTGAATCAAAAGCATCAAAAACCATTGAACAACTGGTATCAATTAGACAATCCACCAATTATACACTCTTAAAAGTCACAATATGGTGGACTTCTCTTTAAGAAAAACAAAAGCATTCAAATCCACACAGGCATCAAAAGGTTCTAATCCATACGCTAGTCTAAAGAACAACAATTATGATCAAAATCATCAAAATGTTAAATTACCTTCAATTGCTAAAAAAGATCAGGAGAAAATTGGGAAACTAATGCAAAGAAGAATGTCTATTCATCAAAGTCAATTACCAAACATGTATCAATCAAATGAGAATGGCCAAAGTGTTCCTGCATTGCCTAATAATGGGATTATCCCTTCAAGACTTGGTGGGAATGTCATCAATGTTTCTGAGATTACACAGGGAACACAGGGAAGAGCTACAACTAGAATTCCTAGTAATCCTGGTGCTAATATTGCAGTTGGTGGTGGTAAATCAACCACTAAAAATATGGATTTACAAGATCCTGCTGTTATTCAATTATTAACAGATTCTGAATTTAACCCTCAAGATTTCATTAGATCAAGACTTGGTGATTCTACTGCATCAGATATTGATAGATTTAATTCTAATTTAACAAGTTTAAATAAAAGAATTAATAATGATATTAAAATCGCATCAAATCAAACTTTTGATAAATTATCAAATGCAACAAAAGAATTACAAAAAACTGATTTAGAATTGAAATTCTTGAGAAATTCTATAAATGAATTAATGGAATTAACTAATGATATGAAAATTCAAGCTGAAAAAAAAATTCAATTAGAATTTGTTCAAACTAATGAATTAACAAAGACAAATTCCACCAAGAATCGTCAAAAGCGGGCACAAGATAGAAGTTCAATCCTTGTATTAGAGAAAATGTGGGCAAATGAAATGAATTCATTATTTAAACATGTTGAAGGTGCACAAAAATTCATTGCTGCAATTCCAGGACGTCATGTTATAACTGAAAGTGGTCGTTGGTATGAATTAAATTCTGCAACTTTTAAAACTTTACAACCTGCACATATTTTCCTATTAAATGATTTGGTATTAATTGCAACAAGAAGACGTAAAAATGGAATGAAATCAAAAGATTCATCATCTGTTAAAATTCAATCACTTGTTGCTGATCAATGTTGGCCATTAAGAGAAGTTCAATTTATTGAAATACCAAATTCTCACGACTCTAAAGAAGTCTATACTATAAATATTAAATATAATAGCTTAAGCTATATATATCAAACTGATAGATTAGATCATTATAATAAAATTTTATCAGGTTATAAAAAAGCAAGAAATGAATTACGTGATATTTCAGAAGCTGAAAATATAAAACAAAGACAATTAAGAGATTCAATGACTTTATTATCAATTGGTGGGGATAATAAACCAGTAACCAATGGTAATGGTACCAATGGTTCTTCAACTCCAAATAGACATAGTTATCATAATAAAAGAAATAGTAATGTTATATTACAAGATTTAAGTACCAGGATGCATAGTCGATCAAGAAGTATGGATAATTCAAATACTTTAAGATCATTAAAGAAAATTGATGATATGGTTGATGAATTAGATGTTTTGATATTTCATGAATTATTTGAAGAAAGTTTAACAAAACTGAATGAATTAGAAATTGATCTTGATATGCAAAAAAATCAATGTAATAATGAAGAAATATTATTTTTCAATATTATAAAATTAAAAATTAATTCACAAAAAGATGAAATTATCAAAAAATTAATAAATTTGATAAATAAACCAGAAGTACAATCTATAAATTTAATTGAGATTGAATCATCAATTAATTTATTAATTAAATTAAACCTGGTTGATATTGCCAAAATCTTATTATTAAATAATAGATCATCATATATAAATTCATTAATTTCAAAAGTTGAAGAATCCAAAACTCAAATAACAAATTATATTGAAGAAATTACAATAATTAGAATTCAAAATTTAAAATCAACAATTAAATTATTTAAATCACTTTTCCCCCAAACACCATCAAATTTAAGTTATTTAGTTGAATGGGGGTTAGATGAAATTAAATCACATATTAGAATTTTACAAAAATCTATAAATGGTGTTGTATTACCTAAAACAAGTTTACAATCTTCAATTTTAATTATTCATAGACAAGTTATGGATTTGAAATTGGCTGGATTGGATGTTGAATATCTTTTTGATGATTTTTATAAGTCTATTGATACAAAATGATGAATATAAAGACAATGAAATACTAAGAAGTTATAAATAAATGAATAAATGAATCAAAATTAAAATCTTTGAGGTTATTATCATGTGTCCCGTAACACTATTAGTAATATTTTTTTCATAGAAGATTCTCGAAAAGGTTATGAAAATTAATTTATAAAGCGATGAGATGCACTAAATAAATATTGGTAATACTTGTTTCTTAACCATCACTTTATTTATTTCAAAAAGATATAATTTATACACAATGGACAAATTATTAAACTGGTCATTAGCACAACAAGACCCAGAAACCGCAAGCAAAGTCGGAGCACCAGATCCAAAATTATTAGCTGAATTATTTGGACAAAATGTTGATGATCCAACTCTTATGAAACAAAATATTGAATTAATTGAATCCAATGAAGCAACAGATGAAAATAAATTAATTTCTTTTGATAATTTTGAAATGTTAATTGAAAATTTAGATAATGCAAATAATATTGAAAATTTAAAACTTTGGCCAAAATTGATTAAATTCCTTGATTGGGAAAATTTAGAATTTGTTAATTTAACTTTATCAATTATTGGTACTTCAGTTCAAAATAATAATAAATCACAATTAGATTTTTTAAAATATGATACTGGATTATCAAAATTAATTCAATTAGCTCAAAATACTAAAGAAGTTAGAGTTAAAGCTCTTTATGCATTATCAAATTTAATTAGAAATAATGAAAAATCTTATGAAAAATTTAATGATTTAAAAGGTTGGGAATTAATTGGTCCAATAATATCAAATCCTGAAGTAAATGATAAAACTATATTAAGAAGTTTATCCCTTTTCAATTCAATACAAACAATTGCACCAAAACAAGAATCCTTTGATCATATTCATGATTATAAAATTATTAAAATTTTTAAGAATTTGATAAAGAGTAATGATAATATAAATGTTATTGATAAAATTTTAAATACTATTGTTGGATTAATTAATGATGGATATAAATTTGATTCTGAAGAATTAGGGGAAATTAAAAATATAACTGAATTTATTGAAAAAGAATTTAAAGATGTTATTAATCTTGATGATTTAAAAGTCTTAAAGCAAGTTAATTAAATATACATAGAGTATCATGGGAATTATAACTAACATCATGTATTATAGATCATTTAATAAAATGGAATTTATTAAATCTAGATATTCCAAAAAATAATCATTCACCTTTCAATTAATTCCCCATCATTTAAAGTGGAAAATAATTTAATTATTGAATTTTCAACATTTTTATTAACTAAATTTTTCCCATCTGCACCTTTTGGTAAATAACCTCTTGTACAATATTTATATAAATCACCTAATGAAGGTATTGAATCAATAATTCTATTTGCTTTAATTTCAGTCATGAATTTAAATTGTAATAACATTTTTAAATAAGTATCATGAGTTGATGAACCTGATTTTATTGTACCAATATTTGCCAAATCCTGGTTTCTTTCAAATTTATCATATCGAGATGATGAAATGGTATAAGTCATTGATTTTAACCAAATCAAAGTTTCATGTAAATTTTTTGTTGGAAAAATTTTAAATCCATTAACTTGTAAATTTGAAATTTCTGATTCAATTTCTTCACTTGATAATGTTGTTAAAGTTTTTGATTTTGTTGTTTTACGTCTTTTGGTTGTTTGACCTGGTTGTGGTTCTGATTCATCCTGGGTCATTCTTGATCTTACTTTTGCAGTATATGTTCTATTTTCTTGGACTTTTAATTTTTGTAAAAAAGAATCATATTCAATAATTAAAATTATAATGTTTTTATATTGAGGATTTGATTTTTGGAAATTTTGAAATTTATTTAATAATGTTTCAAGTTCCATCATAAGTATAAATTCTTGGGCTGTAAAACATAAGACACATTGATTTTCTTGAATAATTCTTTGATTAGATATTGGTTTAAAACAATCTTCATTAGGTTCATAAATTGAATTTATTTTCCTAAACCATGAAATACAATTCAAATCTTGATTCCATGGTTCCACATGAATTGGATTTAATTCAATTTCATAATTATCAATTTTTTTAAATTCATTAATTATACCTTGGGGTAATTTTAAAATCATTTCATTTAATAAATCATCTTTTTTTCTATTAACACGATTTGCCTCCTGGTATTGTTGTTTATCAAATTTATCTTGTAATTTTTGTCTTTTTAAAAGTTCTTTTTCTTCTTTTGTTAATTTTGTTGTTGTTGTATTTGTTGTATTATTTCTTTTTGTTGGTCTTGAAGATATTGGGTTTATATTTGGTAATTCAGTTTCAGAAAATGATTTTTTATTAAATGAAATATCTTGGATAGGATCTGAAGATAAATCAGATCTTTCTTGAAGTTGTTTTTCTTGTTGCTTGGGGCTTGGTTTTGAATAATCAATTGGTTTTGGCCAATTATAATCATTTTTTTCTTCATATTTTAATTTTTCTAATTCAGATTGTGCTTTAATATGTTTTGAACGTTTTTTATTATTATTTGTAAGTTTTGTAAGTTTATTTAGGAACTTGTTTGGAGAATTTTCATCATCATCATCTTGATCTTCTTCTTCCTGGTCATTATCATCATCAGATAATTCAATATTATGATTTGGATCTAAATCATATATTGGATAAATTGGTTGAATTTTAGATTTAGTTTGTCGTATTTCACCAATTGAAGATGAAGAATCAATTTTATCTTGTGAACTTGATAAAAACTTGGTTCTTGTTGGTTTTGATAAATGTTGAGAACTTGAACTTATTGGTATTATTGAAGTATTTGAAATATCTTTATTGTGTACTTTTTGAGGTTTTATTGGAGTACTTGTATTTGAAGAAGGAACAAATAATTTTTGTTTATGAGGTCTTATTGTAATTTCATCATCACTATCTTCCAATATTCTTGTCAACAGATCACCAGCAGTACCACCAGTACCATTACCACCTTGACCACCACCTTTAATATCTCTTGCCTTAAAACTTGAATTTATTGGTGAAGAATCCAATGGTATAATATCAAAAGTTTGATTATTTTGATCAACTTCTTCAGGTTCAGAATCTATGATTTCCACTATCTCACCATCATCAACATCTTCTATTTCATCAATATCAACGATTTCTATTGAATTCATTATGATCTTTTGTTTTTCAATGGATATCTTTTGATTTGTATACAGCGGTTAATTTGATATTTTATGGTGATTTAATTTTTTCGCGTCTTTAAATAAAAACATCAACAACATCAACATCAACAAAAACATAGAATAGACTAGTATAAAATACAATAGATAGTATATATTAATAGTCTAGTATAATATATGATACAACTGTTTACACCTACAACCAAATTAAAATAAGATCTAAGCTTATATTGTAACACAAAGAAATGAATAAAAAAAGATAATAGAACATAGAATAACTGATGTAAATCAGTTTATAAAAGTAAAAGTTAAAATACAATACAAAATATAATCATAGCAACAATAATTTGATCAAACAATCATTTGATTAATCAAACAATATAACTGCTTACGCAGTCATATTGTTTATTCTTCATCTTGTTGTTGAGCTTGATAATTAGCTTTTTCTTCTTCATATCTCTTTTTATCAGCTTCAGCTTTTGCATTATAAGGTTTTTTACCTTCATCATCTAAAGCTTTCCATCTTTCACCTAATAATTTACCAACACCACCAAATGAAATACCTGGATTTTCAGATCTAACAATATCTCTATTATCATTAGCAAAGAACATATAAGCAGATAATGATCTTTTTGGAGCGTTTGGGTCTGATGTTGTTAGTATAATGAATGATGATAATAACAATAGAACAATAGTATTATAACAAAAACAATAGTATTATAACACAATTGTTCACTTCGTTCACAATTGTTGATACTCACCCTTCTTCTTTCTTGAAGCTTTGGTAGTTTTTCTTGGAGCAGACATGATTAATCTTTGTTGAAGTTAGTAACAAGTAAAAGAAGTAAAGTAAAAGTGGAAACAAGATTTAATAAATAAACAAATTTGAACGTGAACACGATTGAAAACAAAAATTGAAAAGCGCGTCAGTGATGAAAAAGTAAACAATCAGCCTAGTTTTTGGTGGTCTGTCTAGAGTCTAGAAGGAACTCTGCCTAACACTCTGCCTAAGGTTTTCTTAATCCCTGCCTAACATCCTCCCAACACCACCAAAAAATCAAAACAAACCACGAATTTTAAAAAACCACGAAATTTTAAAAAACTGACAATTTTTAAAAAAACCACATCAAATGAATTTCCCACAATTTTAATAAGAAACTGGGTTTTGAAATAGCAATTAGGGGGTGAAGGAAATAAATAATCAATTAATTCATGGTTAATTAATGAAATCAATTAAATATCGATTGATTCAAATTCCATCTAGTTCATAATCCCTTGTAATCCCACTCTCCGATACCTAAGAGTATCTCCGGACCATACTATTATCATGATACCATTCAATGGTTCTTTCCACCCAATTGAATAATCAATTGAATCAATATATTCTATTATAATCCATTCTATTCTATTCCATTAACCTCCCTTTGTTTCTCTTTCTTGTTGTTCTGTTGTTCTGTTTACCCCTTCTCATTCTCCCACCTTATCTTTATGCATACATACAAATTCTCACACGTAGTTAATTTACTATGGTAGTGCTAATTTACTATGGGTGATTTTTTTATAAGTGAAGGAATTTTTAATAGTGTGTAGTATTTTTTGTATGGGAGGCAAAAAATTGGTGAAGAAAATTAAAGCGTAGCGGTGGCTGGGAGAGGAGGGTAATATTTACATAATACATTACATAATCATTATATTATATATACAAGTTATTCATTCTCTATTAATCTGTTTATATGCTGGCATGGACTCTGGTGATAATCCTTGGGACTGTACAAACTATAGTGTATTGTTAGTATCTATACTCATAGTAGTAAATAGTTGTTTACATACCTCCCCTATCTTTAAATTTATCTTGTAATATTTAGAAACACATCTATCAATACAACTCATTTCTCCCTTGTTTAAATCTCCTTCTCCATATTCTTCAGGTATACATTTGGTTCGACATGTCTTGAGCATTCTATATTGTGTTAGTAGTGGTTACAAGTAGTTGGTTAAGGTATACCCACGTATTAAATGTTGTGGCCATGGCTTCAAATTGTATTTCAGCTAATTTAATTCTTTCTGGATCAACTTCTTGATTGGCATATGCATTTTTTAATATAAAGGACATGATTGAATTACTTTGAGCGTTAGCGAAAAGTAATTGTGGTGATAATGATAATAATAATAATAATAATAGTAATAGTATTAAATGGTTCATGTCTTTTGATCTCTAATTGATTAATTTATTCATGAAAAAAACCCATCGCTTACATAATTCTGAAAGAAATCATAAAAAATTAAAGAGGTGTCTGGGTCAATGAACATTGAAATATTTATTTATAGATGGATATGCATGAATAGTATCATTTGATAGATTTTAGTTTATGAAGTATTATTATAGGTAATATATATCTAATAATCAACTAATGGTATATCTTTTCAGTAATTTATTGGTTCATTCATAGTTCATGAAGTTGATCGCGAATTTTCATTTTAAAGGTATTAAATTTTTATAGATCCACAGTTTTAAACCATGAAGATCAATAAACAATCCATACCTTCAACTAATCACACCAACCAACAACATGTCCGACAAAAGACTTCACGTTCTCTTAACAAATGATGATGGTCCATTAAACGATGAAACTTCTCCTTATATCAAATTCTTAGTTGATGCTATTTCAAAATATACAAATTGGAATTTAAGTATTGTGGTACCAAATACTCAAAGATCATGGATTGGTAAAGCTCATTTTGCAGGTAAAGATTTAACTGCTTCATTTATTTATACTGAAAATGATAATATTTCAAATTCATTCAAAGGACCATTCCCAACCCCACAATCTGAATTAAATAATCAAGGTTTAAAAGAATGGGCTTTAATTGATGGTACCCCGGCAAGTTGTACAGATATTGGAGTTCATCATATTTACAATCAGGAAAAAGGTCCTGTTGATCTTGTTATTTCAGGTCCAAATTTTGGTAGAAATTCTACTGCTTTATATATCACCTCGTCAGGTACCGTGGGTGCTGCAATGGAAGGTGCATTAACTGGTATTAAATCAATTGGGTTAAGTTATGCATTTGAAACTCGTGATTTAAATGTTGAAATAACAACTGAAGCTGCTAAAATAAGTGTTGAATTAATTAAATATTTGTATGATAATTGGAATAATCAAGTTGATTTATATACTATAAATATTCCATTAATTCAATCATTAAAATTTGGTGAAACAAAAATTGAATTTGCTTCAATTTTACCAAATAAATGGGGTTCAATCTTTAAACCTTTGGAACAAGAACAAGAATCAGAGGGGGATAAAGATATTATTGATGAATCAAGTAATCAAAAAATTCAATTTAAATGGTCTCCAAATTTTAATACTGTTCATGAAACTGTTTTAGAATCTCAAAAAAAAAATGAACATAATGATGGGATTGTTTTATTAAATGGTGGTATAAGGTATGTATTAAATTCTTTGAGTATTTGAGATATTGTTACTAACTGTTGTTATAGTGTCACTCCATTAAAAGCTATATTTAAAGATGTTCCAATTACTGGTGAAATTAAATTAAAGTAAGTTAATAAAGAACTTGACTTTATGTGTTTAATTCTTTATCTCTATTTTTTTATTACTTTGTTTATGAAATTTTAAATGTTTATGATAAATTATTTTATATCATTTTTAATTACGTATATATAAAGCTGATTTTATGTAAGATCATTATCTAACCTTTATTTATAGTTCGATTGTTGATGGTATAAATGATTTAAAATTGGATGATTCAAATTATAATGGAATTGCAAATATATCAATTGACAAAAATTCATACATTTATCCAGCATTAACTAAAGCTTTATCAAAACATTTACCAAAATTAACCATAACTAATAAAAATCAAGACCCTGATATCAAAACATTTCATTATGGTGAATATGAAGAATTAGATATTGATAGATTACAATCCAATCCTGAGAAATATTTTATAAATTCTTATATTTATAGAAAAGCAATTATAAGAAAACATTATCTTGCACATACTATTCATTCATATAAAGTTAAAAACCCCAATTCAATTTTACACAAGGCATTCCCTGATACATTTAATTTAGAAGTTGATTATGCAGAATTCTTGGATGATTCATTAGATGAATCTTTTGAATTAAGAAATGAAATTGAATCAGGTTTGAAAACCTGGATCTTAAAACCAAGTATGAGTGATAGAGGTCAAGGTATTAGAATTTTTCAAACAATTGATCAATTACAAAAAATTTTTGATTCATTTGAACAAGAAGACTCTGATGATGAAGAAGATGAAGACCAAGATAATAATGGTGTTATCACTTCACAATTAAGACATTTTGTTGTTCAAGAATATAAATCAAATCCTTTATTATTATCACATTATCAAAATAAAAAGTTCCATATAAGAACTTATGTTTTGGCAAATGGTTCTATTGATGTATTTGTTTTTAAAAAAATGTTAACTTTGTTTGCATTAACTTCATATACTTCACCAGAAATTAATGAAAATGATGAAATTTCTTTATATGGTCATTTAACAAATACTTGTTTACAAGGTGAAGAAGCATCTATTGAAAATAATAGTGTTGTTGAATTTTGGTCATTAGAAGGTTTAACAACAAAAGAAAAACAGTATATTTTCAATCAATTAGTAGAAATTGTTGGTGAAGTTTTCAAAGCTGCTATAAATGTTGATAAAATGAATTTTCAACCATTAGGTAATGCATTTGAAATTTTTGGATTAGATTTTATTATTGATGATGAATTAAATGTTTCATTATTAGAATGTAATTCTTATCCTGATTTTAAACAAACTGGTGATGATTTAAAATCTTTAATTTTTGAATTATTTGATTCTGTTGTGGAAAGATCTGTTGTACCATTTTTTAAAGGTGGAAAACCAAATGATAATGAATTTTTAGTTAAAGCTTATAGTGAGAATTTGAATTCTTGGTAGAAGGTCAAAAATCATAAAATTAATTGATACATTGTTTATATATATTATACATAGAAATAGATGTTTGTTTTGTTTGTTTAAATTCATTACATTGCAGATCTTCTTGGTCTACCACTTGTTCTAACTTCTGGAGTTGAAGTTCTTGAAGGAGTTTTATCTTTATCTTTATTTGAATTAACACTTGATGATGATGAAGAAGGTGGTTGAGGATTTGCAGCTTGAGCAGCTTCTTTTTCATCTTGATAAAGATCACTTTCATCAGGATCTCCATTAATTTCTTTTGACCATTGTAAAATTTTTGATTTAAGAGTCTCGGCTCTTACTAATCCATTTCTTAAAGTTGTTAAATTTCTAATTAATTCTTCAGATCTTTGTAATGAAATTTGTGATAATTGTCTTGCTTCTTCTGCATCTTCAGGATTTAAACCAAAATTTGAATCAAATTTTAATTGAGGTAATGCGAAAAATGGATCAGTTTCTTGAGTTGATTGTCTTCTCGTTATTCTTTTATCTAAAATATCAATTTGTGGTTCTTCTTGATTTTCTAATTGTTGTTGCTGTTGTTGTTGTGTTTGTTCTGGAGTCTCTTCTTCTTGATTTATTGATGTTAAATTATGATTATATTCAGGTAATAATAATTGAGCTTCTAATAAAGGACCACAATCTTCACCTAATAACGTATCTAATAATTTTGATAATTGAATAACATTATTTTGTTCTCTCTCTATAGTTTCAATAGCTTGTTGAGCTAATTTTTTCAATACATCTGAATTATAAGTTCTTGATAATGAAGAACGTGTAACAATATCTGAAGGATGAGAAATTGGTGCCAAGATTTTTTCAATGTCAATTTGATGATATGGATCATCATCTTCATCAATTTCTAAATGTTCTTGACCATTTGTTGATGTTGTAGAATTTAATAAATCTGTTGGATTATAATCATAAACATAAGTATCTAATCTTCTTCTCTTAACAATGGATCTTTTGGAATGATTATAATGTACTTGTTCTTCTGGTTCATTATCATTATTATATCCATTAATTCTATCTCTATGAACTTTATTGGATCCTAATTTTAATTTATTACCTCTATTTGTAGTTTCTCCATTAATTTTACCTTGATCTTCAATATCTGTTGACTGTTAGTGATCAAAACTACAACTGTGCTATCATCTGGTTATACATACACTCTTCTTCCTTGACACCTTTAACTTTATCACTAAAAGCACTATATTTCAAAAATGTTAGTTACTTCCAACTCCATACAATAAGTCCAACATATAATATCAATATGTATATTTTTTGTAAACATACGTGATGAGTCTTAAAGCCTCTTGTTCTGATATATCACCGTCTGTAGTCATTATGAAATCCTCTGATACTTTAATCCGTATTATCTTTCCAAATAAATATCCATATACAAACTCAGATTATTTATATACAAACCAAACCAAAGGTATACAAATCTCTCAAAACTGATTTTGTTACTGAAATTTATTGAACAGTGAAAGAAATGGCAGAAATTTCTTAAATGGTCATGTGACTTTTGATCACGTGAGTATTATGTAATTTCTGACATAATCATTTTTTCGCGTCATCTTTTTTTTTTTAAATGTAACGCGTCTTTTTCAAAAATTTAAACCGCGTATTTTTCCATTATGAAAATAAAACGAAACTTTTTAAAATTTTCTTCTTATTCAATTATAAGTTATAACCTTTTTGTCTAGATATCTATCAGAGGATAATCAAATAACACATAAATCACATCACATATATATACAATGCTTGAAGCTAAATTTGACGAAGCCAGTTTATTTAAAAAAGTTAGTACCCTTTATTTGCCATTGAAATATATGGGTTATCAATTGAATTTCCAATACTAACAATCATTTAGATTATCGATGCTTTCAAAGACACAGTCCAACTTTGTAACTTCAACTGTACAGAACATGGTATCACTGTCCAAGCTGTTGATGATTCTCGTGTTTTATTAGTCTCTTTATTAGTTGGTGAAGATGCTTTTTCAAGTTATAGATGTGATAGAAATATTACTTTAGGTGTTGATTTAGCATCATTAGCAAAAGTTTTAAAATGTGGTAATAATTCAGATTCTTTAACTTTAATTGCTGAAGATACTCCAGATTCTGTCTTGGTTGTTTTTGAAGATACTGAAAAAGATCGTATTTCTGAATATTCATTAAAATTAATGGATATTGAATCTGATTTCTTAAACATTGATGATATGGATTATGATTCTGTTATTACTCAACCTGCTACTGATTTCCAAAAAATCTGTAGAGATTTAAGTCAATTATCAGATTCTTTAAATGTCTTGGTTACAAAAGATACTGTTAAATTTGTTGCAACTGGTGATATTGGTTCAGGTAGTGTTATTGTTAAACCGTTTACAGATTTAGATAAATCAGAAAATTCAGTTAGAGTTGAATTAAATAAAGCTGTTAATTTAACTTTTGGCTTAAAATATCTTTTAGATATTATTAAAGGTACTTCATTATCACAAAGTATTACAATTAAATTAGCTGATAAAACTCCAGCTTTATTTGAATTTAAATTATCAAGTGGTTACTTACGTTTCTATTTAGCTCCAAAATTCGATGAAGAAGAATAAATTTAATTTAAAATTTATTATTTTATTTGTTTTTGGTTTTTAATGTTTCAATTCATGGTTTTTATATAAAGTTTCAAATAGTTTTCAATTTTTTAGTTAACAAAAATACAAAAAATAATGTAATTAGATCTACATAAGCTTGTAATTTGGACATAATTTTTAATCATTAAACTCATTATATAACTTTTGGTTGTAAAGGTGGTAAAAATGCAGATCTTGTTTGAGATTTTTTAGTAACTGGTAAAATTAATCTAAAAGCATCATGTTGATTTAAATAATATCTATAAAGTCTTTTACTCCTTATAAATCCCATATTTTCATATAATGTAATAGCAGGTATATTAACAACTTCAGTTTCAAGCATAACTTCATCACAACCTTGTTCAATCATTTCATTAATTGTCTTTTTAACTAATTCTTTAGCAATACCACGACCTCTATATTGTTTTTGAACAGCCAACATACCAATATAACCTCTTAATCTAACATCTCTATGTGGTTCTAATTTTGATATGACAACTCCTATTAAATTATCATTTCCTGTTTTGGCTATATAACAAAGATCTGGCCATTGATTTAAGAAAAATCTATAAACATAGATTGAATATGGTTCTGATAAATCATCACTAATCAAACTTTTAATGCATTCGAAATCTTTTTCACTTTCAATTTTCAGCTGTTCATAATATATCTCTGAGTCACTCATCATATAACACTATCACCACACCAAACAATCAATTCTTCAAATTCTTTAATAGATGTTTATTCCAAATCACCTGTTTTTGTACCAAAACGTTTATATGAAAAGATCAAAAACTTGACAAAATTTCCGCGAATTTGTTTGATTTTTAGAAAAATCGCGAAATGAAACTAAATTATGTGACAAAAGTATAAGCGTTTAAATATCACAAGATAATAAGAGAAAGTGATATAAGTGGGAAAAGAGTCGGTTTTGAGCTGGTGTCATTGGTGTTATTGTTATTATTGGGGCTGTTTTAGTGCTATTCTGTGTTTTCTGCTGTTCAATCCGGTCATTTTCAACTGTTTTGATATTGCATGTTGTTTTGCCACAAATTAGAATAAAACCACTTGCACTTATTTTATGGAAATGAGTGAGTCCATTCAGGTGATCAATGCTCATACAGGTGAATCAGTGGGAATAAACAGATACTATTATGTTACGCTGGATGAACTAAGGAAATTTTGTTCAAATCAATTCAATATACCTTCAAATCAATTGTTTCTTATATCACCATTTGGTTATAAAATTAAAAAAACTTCATCTCTTGAAGAAATTAATGAAATTTATGTTTATGATACAAATTTATTTTCAAATTCAAATTCAAATTCACAATCATCTGAGTTTATAAAATCATATATTTCATCACAATTCCCAGAAGTTTTCGATAATTTGATACAACCTATAAATTCTCCCCTCTTGGATGTTGATTTAAATAAAATTTCCAATGCTAAGAATTCAAGACAAATGATTAGTCTTTTAACTACAAATTTAGGTTGGGTAGCTGCTATACAATCGGATACATTACTTTTCCATAAAAGAATCATAGAATTGAGTGATAGAATACGGATATTATTTAAAGCTTTAAGAGTTGCAACTCAATATATTGATAGTTTTTATCATGAAATTAAAAAAAATTATGATTCAACATTTGATTTTGTTATATCGTTACAGCAACAATCTTTAAATCTGTCATGGAAAGATCATTATAAAAAATTGAAATATATTTCATTAGTTTCAGATGACCAAACTGCATTATCAACTTTAGTTAATCAAAGGGAATTGGATAATCAGGCTCATCAAAGTATAAAAGAGACAAATAATGTTACAAATGAGTTATTGGGTTTCAAAAACAATATTGAAAATAGTAAAAATATAAGATTAAATTCAGAAAAAGAATTAGATACTATTGAAACTGAAACATTAAGACTGATTACTCATTTTGAATCAATTGACGAATTAAAAGATCTTAATTTATTAGCAGATAAAGTTCAATCTGATACTAAACATCTCTTGAGTAAAAATAAATCAACTTTAGATGATATTGATGTTGAAATAATATTGGAAACTTTTCAAACTCATAAATCTGAATTTGTGGAGAAAATTTATAATTCATCATTAAACATTTTTAAGATATTTGGGAATCTTAAATCTTTATTCTTGAAGCTTCAAATTGATTTAACTAAACAACTGCAAATATTAACCACTGCACAAACGGATTTAATATCTGTTAAAGAATCATTGAAAAATATGAGTAAAAAAATTGAAACTATTCAATCTTTAGAATCATCATTATCACAAACTGCTGATTTACCTTTATTATATGGTTTATACATTGTTGAAGATATACGAAGATCAGAATGGTTACAAGAGATGAAATCATTAGCTTCCAAAACAATTGAAAATTTTGCATCTATAAGAGAACGTGAAGTTAAATATAGAACTCAATGGGTTAAGAATTTTGGTTCAATTTTAAAACTTTTAAATTATAACATTTCTTCATTTAATAGTGGTAATATTGCAACTTTTGATTTAAATATAAATGAAGATTCATCTATTAAGACTTTAGGATCGTTCATTAAAGAAGATGTCTTAAATTATATTGATCAATTAAAGAATATTGGTTATAATCCAGATAATATCAATGTTATAACAAGAGCACTGAATGATTTACCACTGAGAAGATCAAGAATTAAACTGTCGGATTCTGGTGGCTTGGATAATACACCTTCAGATCAAGCTATAAAAGGTTATAAGGCAAGAATTAAAAAACTTGAAAGTTTATTACATCAAGAACAATTCAAAAATTTTAATCAATGGCCATCACAAACAAATGATTCAAGACTTTCTGCATTATCAAGATATTCTCTTGTATTTGATAAATCTCAAAATAAATCTCAATTTAGACCAAATTCTGGTACCATTGAACCACATCATATTCCTGGTTCAAGTAAAGTTGTTTCACCATCAATTGAAAGATCGGTTTCTCCACCAAGTGTCAATTCTCATAGTGCTGAATTAATTACAGCTCGTTCAGAAAACGAAGACTTGAAGAAAAAAATCCAAAAAATGAAAGATACGATTGAAGCAACAAATCAAGAGTTAAAATCTGTTAGAGATGAATTTAGTTCACATTATTCTGAAAGTCAAGGTCTAATTAAACAATTAGAAACTTTAAAAGATCAACATTCAGTGGAGCTTTCTTCATTGAAAACTCAAATTGATGATTTGGAAAACAAATCATTTGAATCTAAAAGATTAACAACAAAACAGAAAAATGATATTTCTAAGTTGGAAGAATTATTAAATGAAAGAAATACATTTATTGATGAATTAAAACAAACAAATTATGAGAAGATTGAAGAATTGGAAACAAAACTTAATGACGCTTTGAATAAAAAATCAGATTCTTATTACGATCTGGAAAGTGATTTTGAAAAGTTCAAGACTGAGCATTATGAACAAATCAAAAGTTTAGAGTCACAGGTGAATCTTAAATCATCTGATCAATCAGAATCACATAAGGAATTGGAAGAAGCTTATGAGAAATTACAAACTGAATATAACACAAAAATTAAAGATCTTGAAGATCAACTTCATTCAATAAAAGAGGATAAACATACATCAGTTGAAGATTTGGAAAATCAATTTGAAAAACTTGAAACTGATCATGACTTTAAAATATCAACTTTGAAAACCGAACATGAAGAAGAAATTAAACATCATAAATCATTACTTGAGAAGAAGGGTGAGGAATTATCTCAAAAGCAAATACCTGATGTTAGTGAAGAGTTGAAGAGACTTAAACAAGAGTTGGAAACCCAAAAAGCTGAAAATAATAAATTACAAGAAGCATTGAATTCAAAGGATAAGGAGATTGAAGATTCAAGATCTGAAAATGAAGAACAAAAAGTTGTGATAGCTGATTTAAAGAGAGAAACAATTGAAATTAAAAACCTTACTGAGCAAAAAGATCAATTAGTATTGACAAATCTTGATTTGAATAAAGAAATTGATAAATTCAAGAATGATTATACTTCTTTAGCTTCTATGAAGAATGATTTATTAGAAAATATGTCAAATCGTGAAAATGAATTCGCAAGAGAGAAAAAATCTCATCAAGGTGAAATTGAAAGTCTAAAGATGAAACTGGAAGAGTTAGAAAAACTTCAAGATGAATATGAAGCAAAACAATCATCAATAATTAATGATAGACAAACAATTTTACAGTTAGTTATAATTATTAATTCACTTATTATCAAAGCAAAAGATTTAAGTGAAATTGTCTACAATGATTATGGATCATTTTGTGCAACTTTAAGATCCATGGGATTATTGGCTGTTAGAAATGATAATGGTGAAGTGAATATCATTAGAGTTAAAGGTTTAAGAAAATTAGGTGAAACTACAGATTTTAGTACAACTTTAGATAGAACAACAAATGGTATGAAATCGGATTTGGAACAAGAAGCTTTTAAGTTTTTATCATGGGTTGAATTACCTGATTTGAAATCTATTCAAGATTTAAACTTGGAAAATGAAGAAGAATCAAGTTTTGAATCTTTAGATTTAGTTGTTGATAACATTATTGAAAATTATAATTTGGATAAATTTGAAGATAAATATTTAACATTTGTTAATCATATAACAAATCTATCACCACTATATAAATCAAGTATCTCTAAAAGATTTAAAGAAGTTGAAAATCTGGCAAAGAGAGAATTGAAAGAGAATAAAAGATTCAAAGAATTACAAAGTACCAAAATTAGTATTAGAGATTTTAAAGTTGATGATTTAGTTTTATTTTTACCAACAAGATCAACATTAAACAATGCTAATGGACAATCTCAAACCAATAATGCATGGGCTGCATTTAATGATACTGGTGATATGAAATATTTACTTAAAAATGATTTAAAGATTCAACCATCAAGACAATGGATAATTGCCAAAATTTTACAAATCGAACAAGCTGAAAATGATAAAAATGAATATCAGATAACTGCAGAAGAAGTTATTTTATGAATGAATGGACGTATATACTGGAATATATACTATATTGGAAGTATGAATCAATGATGTAGCTATGTGAGCCCTTGGCATACTAATATCATATAAACTTAACTATTATTATGATTCGCGGGCTTTTTACTTTTTGTCTATATAATCTCAAGGTAGATTAAGTTTTGACATGCATTTACCTCTCTAAACCTTTTCTTAAAGTACGTGACCCCCGATAATATTATCGCTGTTAGGTTTGCCGTGATATATGATGGTACATCACGAACTAATAATTGAGACATAAGAACGAGTACTTTTCCAAGATCATAGAATTGACTATATATAGAGCTCTTATTATTCCCGTGCGCATAATATAACTATTATGAGTTCTATATTGAGCTATATTTCATTCAAAACACTCTTACATATGACTTATTTTATAGAGAAGCCATCTGAAAAATTACTTTAAGAATGATGAACTTTGGTCAATATTCAACAATTCTTTCTCTTGACTTCCTTTCTTCAACTTGTGACATTAAATATTCAATATCAAATTAGACAATACTAAATCAAAATGAATATTAGCGAAGCACCAATATATTCCCCTTCCCCAAGTGATCAACTAAACCCCAAATTTGACAATGTATTTCCAATGGAGATTTGGGACTTAATTGCAAATTATGGTGATCTAAAAAGCTCAACAATGTTGATGGTCAACAAGACATTTATGCAGACATTTGCGTCAAAACTTTATGATACTCTTCAATTAACAATTGTTATTAGTACTCTCACTAAAATGAAGCTCAATGATAAAAGTTTTTTGAAATATGGTTTTGATAAAAAGGAAGTTTTACCAGGACTCAAGAGCCAAGTTGAAGCAAGACACAAATATAACAAAAACTATGATTATGAATATTTAGAAACTGAAATACTTCGTGATCGATGGGTTGATTATTATGTTAATTGTTCAAACTTTAATGAAGAACAACACAAACATCCAAAACCTACAAAATTTCTTGAGAGAAAAAACAAACCAGAGGAAATCAAAAGCATATATAAGATCAAGTATATCATGAAAAATGTCTTCCATAACCCACAATCCAAAATGAAACAATTCATTAAAGAAGTACTTATTGATGTTTGTGTTTTAGATGAAATGGATAAACTCTTAAGTGATTCCAATGACCTTTCTAAGTTGATTAAAGAGAATTACTCAAATCCTTCAAGTAATGAGAAGATTTCAATTTTAAGAACAAGTTGTAAAAATCCAGTTGTACCTCTTGATGACAATTTTGAAAAGAGAAGATGGGAAGACCAAGATGAAACAAATGAACGTTATCAAGTGTTTGCTGATAAAGTATTGTTTTCGCTCAGACGAAGCAAAATACTAGATCTTTTCCCTCGTGATGTCTACTTCAAAGAATTATCTACTGTTCATTTACTTTCAAGAGAGATGTATTCAAGCCAATTAAGAAGAAGATTATTCAATCTAACAGATGAAAATACTTTCAATAAAGCTAATCCCGTTCGTTATTGGTGTGATCGACTTCTTTATTATTTGAATCATACTGCAAATCCATTAAATTTAGATCCACTTTATACGTTGATAATTAACGCACAAATCAGGGTTGACATAAAACATCGTCAAGTCGAGACAAAGGCTGGTATCAATAAGTTTTTATCCGAATTGATTCAGCCGTTCACTACACCAGGTCAGCATCTTCAATTTTAATTACAGGTGTTAATGATGGTAAACCACAGATTTCAAGTCAACAAACTAGAATGGCAGCAAATGGACCAGTGAAGTATTGTTCATTTCATGCTTATGATACTAAAATGATACTTATAAATAAACAAAATAGTCATGGTCTTTAAGTTTTGTGTAAATTTGTATAGATTTGTCCCGACATCTCGCCAGTAAGTAATTACCGGCCACAAACAAAAGATTTTGTATGTATTCAAATTACAAGAGTAAATTTACAACAATACATTTCATGAACGACATCTATTTCTGTTGAGTTCTAAATCATTAAATTGCTTGCTTGAAGTATTTTGCATTATGGATGCATCAATTCCAGCACATGTTGAGCTTAGCCAATACCCATTGTTGTACATCAAAGACACTTACAGTGACCATCCAAAGATCAGAGAATTAGAATTAATTGCAGAATCATTTGGTTTATCAGTTTTAGAAAACAACATCACAACTCTTTCATCCAAAATAAGAAACTCATTCACAGATAAGCCAACCGAAAAGGAAATGGAAACCTTCGAGCAAAATGATGCTTTGAGATTGATTGAAAAAGATATTCACTTTATCAATGGTACAAAAACTTTATCATCAAATGACAAAAATTTCGTCTCAAAAGAAATTTTTTTATGCCTGTTTAAGGAGTCCATTGAAAGAATTATTGACTATGAATATCAAGATCAGGTAACTATGACGTTAGTATTTTCAAGAAGGAATAGAAAACAACAAGTAGACACTGTTGATACATTATTTTCCCTAGTCTTTGAGGGTCAAAATCCAAACCCAGAAGATAACTTAAATCATTATTCAGATTCTGATGCTGATGATGCTGCCGGTGAACAAGAAGATAATGATGATGGATATGCTGAATCATCTGATGAAATTTACTGATCATCGTATACAACTTATTTATGCCCGTTTCCAATAACAACAGTGGTTCATTCAATTGAAAACAAACATCATTTCAGTATTTTGGTATTTTTATATTTTTCGTTTTATTTTTTGGTTTATGTTGGTCCAACATTAAGTTTCTTTAATCTTTAGATTAACAGTGTTGTTCATCAAGTGCTATTATTTTATTTTAATTAAATTTCATTGGTGTGGTTCATTTTTCAATCTTGTAGTCAAAATCTTCGTATCACCTTATCGATATCTGAAGCAAACATCCAACCATTTAATTTTTCTCCATTCATCAAAAAATCACATTATTTTAATTTGCTGGGCCTTGAAAACAATGAGAACATTGACTTTCAGTTTGAGAAGAGATACAGAGTTGGTGAAGAACTTTGAAAGCATCGATCAATCCTTTGATAGGTAACTTGTTATTCTCAACGCTCAAACTCCCTTCATGATACCAAATTAACTTGAGATTTGATCACAGCGGTTAACCAATACAAAATCCAAAATGACTGCTAACCCAACTATTCAGTATCTCTTTGATCATCTTCAGTTCATAGACCAGCATTTCCCTGACTTGTTAGTTGTTGATCCTACATTCTAAACACCAAAAGATCTTGTTCAAAAATAGTCGATGCTTATATTCCCCGGTGGTGTCTGGATGTCTGGATGTTTATATGAAGCATAATTGAAAACTGAAAGTTTAACTCATTTCAAATTCATTTAAAGTACGTAATTTTACCAACATCATTATATTGCTGTCTATTTCCAAGAGTAGACGATAGGATATTTCAGACACACACAGTGTACTGCTCAATGGAACCAAAGGATCATGATTAATATGGGACACTAATAAAACGCGCATTTGAGGTCTATTTTACTGGAGGTATAACAGAAAATGAGTTGTCTGAGTGAGAAACAGTGTACGAGTTAATGTACTCTATATATATATATATATATGGATGTTAGTGGGAAATAATCCAAACTTGAGTTTTTTTGCTTATTTCAACCTTTTATCCTAGTTCTGAAAGGTATTTAGTACATTCATCAAAGCATTCAAAAGAAACCATCAAAATGGAAAACAATCTATCACTTAAAGAAAAGATCTATAGGACTATCCATATTCTATGTTATGAGAGAACTGATATCAATTCCAAGTTGATGACCGCTTGGTTTGGGCATTATGAACTAGGCTCATATATTGCCTTCGATTTGTCATTTAGAGAGAAGATCTATAGGACCATACATATTTTAATCCAAGAGAGAGGTTCTATTATATTCAAGTTGTTCAGCTTATGGTTTGGATGGTATGACGGAGCCATGTATTACCACTATAATTTGTATGATATATTTATCACAAGGCAAATATGGATGTTTAAAAGACTTTTCATGTTCCCAATAGCGTATTACACATCAATTATATTGAATACTTTACAAAGACTATGTGGTGAATTCAAAGCACGGTTAAGTACATGGGTTAATACCATAAACTTGGATGCTGAAGATGCTATACACAAAACCTCTCAAAACGATCATAAAGTTCCAAACATTTGTGAAGTGAATAATGTGTTCCCCATGGAAATTTGGGAATTGATTGCAAATTATGGTGATTTAAAAACTTCAGTCATGTTGATGATAAACAAGACATTTTTTGTGACATTCTCATCAAAACTTTATAATACTTTGCATTTAACAATAGTTCTTAGTAAACTTACCAAAATGAAACTTAATGATGAGAATTTTTTGAAATATGGTCCTGATGTATTGAATACACCATGTGATTCATATTCAATCTATAAAAGAAACAAGATTAGTAAATCTTTTGATTATGAATTCTTGGATACTGAAATTGTTCCAGATCAGACACTCAATGATAAACTTGGTGAAGGTTTAACTGAAGAGCAACATGAACATCCGAAGAGTAAGTTTAGTATCGAGAGAGATAATATACCAACAGAGGTTAGAAGATTTTCTGAGATCAATCATATTATTAAAAGTATTATTCATAATCCAAACTCAAAAATGAAATGTTTCATCAAAGAAGTTCTTATTGATATCTGTATTTTGGATGGATCGATAGAACTTGTTGGAAAGAACACTGGAGCTCTCAATTTAATCCGTGAATTAATGACAGCCAAAAATAAAGATATTATAAGAGCTTCAAGCTCGGTAAATGGTAGAAACAAAGTTATACCTGTTGATGACAATTTCCAAAGGAATAGGTGGAGTGATCCGATTGAGTTAATTACAAAATGTGACCGATCCTCAAAGAAAGCTTATACTGCAACCAGGAAACCAAAAATACTCGATATCTTCCCATCCAAAATTTATTACAAAGAACTTTTAATTGTTTACATGCTTTCAAAAAATAACTACTCCAGTAAACTAAGAAGAAGATTATTTTACGTCAAAAATAGAGAACATTTGAACAAGTGTAATCCTGTTCGATACTGGGAAAAACAAATGAAACTCAAATCAACTCCAATCCATAACAATTTAGATTTAAACTCACGCCAAAAGATGACATTTAACGCGCAACTTTGTGTTGACATCAAAGGTCGAGAATTTAAGACGAAAGCAGATACCGTTGAATTTTTACAAGATTTGATTGAAACTTTTATTAATCCAAATTATATTAAAACAGGTGACTTCAACGCTAAATCATCCATCTTGATTACAGGTCCCTGTGATAGTAAACCACAAATGACTCACGAATTCACTAGAAGAGCAATATTTGGTGGTGATGGTTTGGTTAATTATGACATGTTTATGATACTCGTAAATAAAGCTTTTCATAAAAACAAGGAATAAATAAACATTTCTGTTATATATTCGTGTTTGTGTAGAAGTCCGTACAAGTCCGATATTCTATTTTTATCATAACGTCGTATACACAATAGACACAAGTCGTTAATAGAAAATTGGATTCAATGTGTACAATATCGTAACGTCTATAGCAAAAAATACGTTAAAAGTATGAACTACACAATACATAGAAAATTCAAAGCTAATATAGAATTATGAAAAACACAACCAGCTATAAATCCGGATTGAAAACTAGGTAAGATCTAAGGATGTATAAGCTATTGAAGACGAGTCCAGAATTACTAAACTTTATTCACATTATTCAGCCTTTATTGTCAAATTTAACCTCTTTGAAATCCAAACCATGATCAATATAATACTGATACAACCTGACAAGATTCAATTGGCATGTTGGACATCTAACCATAACAACTTGATTTGAATTTGTTGTTTGTAAAGTTCTTTTAAAATCATGTAAACAATCACGGTGATAAACATGATCACAAGGTAACAACAACAACAAGTCTTTTGAGTGTAAGTTTTCAATACATATAGAGCATAATTCTCGTTTTTTTGCATGATCAGGGTACTTCTCAAACAAAGCATCTCGTGTCAATTCTTCACAATATTGGAACTCTGGTGAAAAAATACTATTTGCTGTTGCGTTTAGTGTGCTTTGATTGAAGATATATTGATCCACTTGAGATCTTTTGACAATTTTACCTTGAACTTCATTTGTACCATTGGCTTTAGTTTTTTTATTCGAATTGCGTTTCTTATTTGGCTTATATGGTGGTGGGTATTGTTTGATTTTGAATGGATTTACAATTGCTTTGAAAAACAGTATAACAAACCTCAAGCTTAAGAATGTCTTTATCGGCCAAACGATTAAATATTTCCATATATAGATTCCAAGATAAGCCACAGAAGCAGCTATTCCAATAGGTATAAGAACTCTAAAATCATAGAAAGTTAGCAAATCTGACATGTCTAATTAATCTTTTGGGTAAATACTCAAATACTCACGGTAGGTAAGGAATACTAATGATGAAAATTCCTAGAGTTCTCCAACTAAAAATAACTCTTTTCAAAAAATTGAGCCATGATTGTCCCTTATCGTCATCATCTTCTTTGATATACTTTATCATTTCAAAGAAATTCTCATACTGCTTTTTCAAAAAAACTTCGTATGAATACATAAAAAAAACAGCGTAAGCTGGAACACAAACTAAGGAGCAAACAAAAACTAAAACAACTATTAATCCAATACGGTTATCGGATTGGTTCTTCTCTGCTAATTTCCTTCTATATTCTGCGACATCGAAATGAGAGGACTCGTAATCATCATTCACCAATGAACTAATAAATGTAGCTGTTGCCTCTATTGTCCTATTAGATATAGTACTAGAATTGCTAATTGTAGGAACCTCTTCACTGATGATACTTTCAGAAACATTCTGTGGGACAGGTGCAGCTTGTGTTGCACTATTGAAAGCTAATATTGTAATGAGTGTAATTGGAATCAATAACTTAAAACGCATCTTTGTTGGGTTTCCTGTGATTTGAAAGCATCAGAAACCACAAATTCCCAGCGCAGAAAGACAATAGCATTTTCTTTTATACATTTCCTCCAAAAAAGTCCCTTCAATGAATATCTGTTGAAATTGAGAACAATACAAATTAAAAGTAAACAATAGAGAACTTTAAGTGAAGCTCATTTGTGGTGTCTGGATGTATGGAATTCTCAATGGTCTCTTTTTCGCGCACCACAGTTTTGATAATGGACGATAAAGGGTAATATTGAACATCTCGATTCTCCATACAAATTTGAAAGAACAAAGTATCAAAGACCTTCATCTAAACCACATCGACAAAATGGCTCCAAGTGTCAAGAGTAGAGAATTAGTTATCCCATATATCCATGTTGCACCTGCCCCTGAAGCTGATTCAGGTGCTGTTATTGGTCAAAGTATGCCAATGGCTGCTATGTTTATGAAGAATAAATTATTATCATGGGTTACTTTAATAACTGCTATCTTAGCTTTATTAAACAGTGGTGGTAATTCTGCTGCTGCTTCTGAAACTGCTCAATCTCCATTTGTTAGAATATTAATGGCTGTTGTTTCTTTAGGTGTTTGTTATATGGATTTAGTTGTTCCAGGTTCAAGTGGTATTAAAAAAAAATCAACTGAATCTGTTGTTGAAAAAATTAGTGAAACTATTGCAACTGCTGTTTCCTCTGCTACAAAATGATCAAGTTAAATAACAAAATTAAAAAAAAGAATCCCCCAATAATGAATTATATGATGAGTTGATATGATATGCAAAATATATTATATATTAAAAAATTTGGTATAATACAATATTATAATGTAAATTATTTGTTTTAATGTTTCTTAATGTTTACAATCACAATTAATTTTAGATAAATCAGTTTCTTCACCAATATCTTCATTCCAATCACTTGGTCTTTCTTTAATAAATTTATTCATAATATCTTTACATCTTTGATCATTTAAATTTATAACTTCAACACCTCTTTGTCTTAAATAATCTTCACCACCCATAAATGTTTCATTTTCTCCAATAACACATCTCTTGATACCATACATAATTATAGCACCTGTACACATATCACATGGTGATAATGTTGTATATATAGTACATTTTTTATAAACTGATCCATTTAATCTACCTGTATTTTCCAAAGTACTGATTTCTCCATGTAATGTTGCTGAATTTTTTTGAAATCTCATATTATGTCCTGTACCTAAAACTCTACCATCTTCATGAATTAAACATCCACCAATTGGAACACCACCTTCTTCATAACCTAAAAAACATTTGTTAGTACATCTAGTGATTCTCCTTATACTCCGAAAATCAAACTACACTTACCTTTTACAGCTTCTTCATAAGCAATTTGTAAACCCTTTTGATCATCAAATGACATCTTTTGTATGTGTTTTTTTCTTTGGTCTATTAAAACAAAAACTTAAAGAAGAATAAAGAACTTCACAATATTATTATAGATCTGATTCTTGCTACAAAATGGAAATTGATTAGAATTTTATAAGACCGTTGGACTTAATTATGGGATCTTAAATTTCTTTTTTCAATTTGCAGCGCAGACGCTTATTTGTGAAAAAAATTCCTTTTACGGTAATAATCGCATCTTTTTTAGCGAAAATAAAAAACGGTTCTACTCAATTAGGAAGACCCTTATAATCAAATCTACGCAAAAAATCAAACTAGTTTAATATTAATTAATAGTACGAAATTATTACCTATAATTTACATTTTGAATTATATCAATACCACGAATGATATTTTATAACAATCTCCCAGTATGTTAATCTTCTCCCATTCTCTGTATACTCCTCAGCTAGTGTGTATCGTCTTTCACAGTTGGAAGGTGGCATCCAACATTTTATATTTGGATGTTCACCATATGTAAAATTTGGGATTTGATGAACAGGATAACCCAATAAGATACCACGTCGACGAATAAGCCTCATAATAATAACCATTAAAAGGAAGGGACTAGCTGCAATATCTAAACCATCGATACTAGATGAATAAAAATGAAGTTCCTTCAACAATGGAAATCTTCTAGTAGAAATTGAATTTAAAACATCAACATTATAGAAGACCAACGTTCTAATTAAAGGTGTTTGAACATCATGAAACTTTAATTCAACTTTCAAATTTGGGTTATGTGTATCACTATTGTCACCGCTTATAGCTAATGAGAGCAAAGATTCAAATTTACAATTTGATAAAGTTACAATATTCAAATTTGTTATTGTAATATCCAACGATAGTAAATTGTTAAGAATTAACGTTTCTGAATCCATATGACCAAACTCTGCAACTTTAAATAACACCAATTCCAAAAGTTTAGGATATAGTTTTGCAATAGGGCCAACATCACGAAATGAACGGCAATCAAGTATCTTTAAAGCTTCCAACATTGGGGCTTCAATTGATGGTACTTTGAGAGGTTCATCATTATTGAGTATAGTTAAATATCTTAAGCTTGGAAAGGTAATTAATTCTGGATATTTTTTTAAAGGAACACCATCTAATAATAAAAAGGTGAGATTCTTTGAATTTAAATCATTGTTCAAAATATGGTGCATATGTTTAATAAATCCGAATTGAGCATTTGATAGAAATTCCCAAGTCTTTAAATCATTTAGCATATCATTATCTCCTGAAACATCCGATAAAGCTTCACATCCAATAAAATATGTTTTTAAGTTTGGCATACTAATATTATTGAAATTATCTTGATCAAAAGTATAATTTGAAACATCATATCTAAAGTAATCTAAAGATTGGGCTTGGAAATTGTTAAACCGTTCAAGTTTACCATTTGATAACTGTAACTGAAAAGATTTCAAATTAGGAAGATTTAATTGTGAAATTTCTTTGAACCCATTTTGATTAACAATCATCAAATGTTCCAAATTGGGTAAATTTGATTCTATAATTGGATAATTGGAGGAAAATATTGGTCTAGATATTAATCTGAAGTTATTTAACGAGTCTAATCCCTCTTCGATGGATAATGACTTTAAATTTGGTATATAAAGGTATGAGATCTTAAGTCCAACTTCATCCATTTTTGTACATGTAAATTTGAATAATTTTTGGAAAAAAATAGGATTTTCATAACTATCTTGAGATTCCGAAATGGAAATTTTCAAATTGAGAGATGTATTATAATCAAATAAGTATTGTAAAAAATTAACAATTCCAATTGGAATAGTGTCTGCAGAATTAATGGACGGGAATTTTTGTGTTTTAAATATTGATTCTGAAATTTCAAAAACTATAACCCCTTCAAATTTATTCAAATATTCCATTAAAGAACTGAAATCATTAAGGAGGAAAGAATTGTTGTTAATTGGCCAAAACATTGAGTTTTTATCAAAATATGTTTGTGAATTTACATATCCATGATCATTTTCATTATAAGTATTGACTAAATCTGAGAATTTCTCATGAAATGGAAAATAATGATTATCATCATATAAAACTTTAACAAATCTTGATAATTTATGAATATAAAGTGGAAAAGCTTCAATTAAATTATAATAATCATTTGGTTCTAGATAATTGATAAATATGATTCTTAAAATTTCATTTGGTAACCAATATAATAAAATATTCATTGTTTATAATAGTTTAGTTGTAAGAAGTCAAATAGAAAAAAAAAAGAGTAAATGTTGTTGTTGTGATAATTTTTGTTTGTGTTTTTGGTATAATAGTATTGATTTTCAATTGCAAAGTATAGCTAAATGTAGTGTTTTGCCTGTAATTAGCACTAGATGATTCGAGTATATCAAATCGATGTGATGAAATATCTAACCAATATAGGGATTTCAATAGATGCTTTAATTTGAAAACTCCTTAACAGTAAAAACACCAATCCAAAAATAAATGACACAAAACCAAAAACTAAATAATCATCACAGAACTCAAAAATGTAACACCCACTTCAACAAGCAAATTCACTTTTCACAAATCCCAATACCTGGTATCTCGTGTAATCAACATAACATCAAAACCTATCATATGTAGATCCAAACATGAATAACCAAAACACAGTCTAAGTTATAACCGCCATGAACAATGAACAATTTTGAACACAAAGTAGCATCTTCACCTCAATTATCTTCATCTAACATAATCATCACATATAACTATAGTGCCCCCAATAGATAATAGATCAATAATCCAATATTTCATATTTGATAATTTGATACTTTGATACTTTGTTTTTGAAAGTTGTTAAAGTTTCAACTGCTTATTAAAATCACCCTCGAATCTAAAAGTTATTAAAATTATGGATTCCGAGTTTTTAATGATTTTTCATGAAAATTTGTACTATTTCAATTTCAATTCTCATCATTGTTCTGAAATATATATATTATAGTACCTCAACTATGTTCCATGGTTTTGTGAATTGGAAATTATAATGATGTTATCTACGTGGCAATGATAATTTTTGTGTATCATCACCAGAGTCAAGCAAAAGTTCTTCAAATTGTTTAATAATTTGTTCAAGGATTTATCTCCATTAATTTGGGTCTTTATGAGACGACGTGATTAATTGTTAATTATATATGGTGTTAGGTTATTACCTTTATCCAATATATTATTAAATTAATGCACAAATCCATAACAACATATTATCTTTATACGAAAGTGAAGAACATCGTTGAGTACTTTGAAATGTTATGGAATCTATTTTCTTTGAAATGTTACTTATATTTGTAGTACTACAATAAAGCTATATATCATAAAATTAACCACATTGAATCAATAATTACCCTCGATCTAAATTTGATGTAATTCAGTTAATAGTTTGAAACTTCATGAATAATTTATAGTATAACCTCTATCACCCTCGATTCTGAAAATAAAACACCGGGTTTGGAAATATTCATGAATGTCAATTTTTCCTCAAACTTTACATCCATAACCCTTATACCTTATACCCTTATACCCTTATATCTGTGATATTTTTATCAATTGTTTTCCATGTGCACCGCCTTTTTTAATTTTCATCATAAAATTTTTTACTTTGAGTAATGAGAAATTGTGAGCTAGGTTGTCCTCCTTATTATGTGCATGACTTTTGAACAAACCAGAATAAAGGACATCATCATGTTTTTGTTAATATCGTTAATATCCAAAATGGAGCTCCAATTTATCTAAATACCAGTTTGATTCTTCATAGATGTTTTGTTATTTGATTGTCTTTTGCCTCATTAGATCACAAACTATTTGATTAGGAAGTTCTTTCATTGGATCTTGATGCAATAATCATGATTTTTGGTTTAACTTGTATTATAATCTCATAATACACAACTCACCATAACATCAAATTAATATTTATACGAAAGTGAAAAACATCGTTAAGTAACTTGAATTGTTATGGAATTTTTTGATCAAAAGTTACATATTAATGTAGTCCTACAATATTGTATATCAATTAACCTCCATATTGAACAATTAAGATGAACTAATAACATCCTCATAATATATATATAACATATTATTTATATCTTTACAAAAGCAGTGTCATCAGGCCTATATTACCATGGATTTAAATTTGACGTAAGAAACTTCAATTATAATTTGTTTGGTTGGTTACGTCCTCTATCTTCAATACCCTCGATTCTGAATTAAATACCCGGTTTTGGAAAAAATCTATCAAAATATTTTTTTAGTCAATCATGATCTTTCACCATCAATTGATTACAAAAGTAATTGATCATGTCAAATATCATATTATCAAATAATGGTTTTGTCTCATTTAAAGGGTTTTTGAAACTGATTGATTCTTAAGTCAATTACCTACAAATTCAAAAAAAAATTCAATGCATGATTTGTACTATTTGTTCCACATTTAAATTGATTCATTTTGACAATACATTTAGGAATTTAACACATCTCTGTAATACTGGGTTCTGAGATTATAGAAATTTTTTTGTTGTTATCTCAACAACATGGTTTTATGATGGTTTTGTCTTTTAATTATTGATATTGATGATCATGATGATTGATATATTACTGAATTAATACATAAATCCATAACGTTCATTTTAACTTTATACGAAAGTGAACAACATCGTTAAGTAATTTGAATTGTTATGGAAATATACATCTTTTTCTCAATTGAATTACATAAATTTGTAGCACTACAATCTATATTAGATCTAAATAAATCTATATTTTTAAACCAAAGATCATCTATATAAAAGGTTTAATGAAGTATAAAATGTCAAATATTATAATATAAAATCAAGGATATAAAGAAATTTTTATACCTTGTAACGTAACGAAATGAAAATTAATAAAACTGGTCATAAGGGTACAACTATTTCTTTTTTTCTGCAACTTTTTCACCAGTTTCAATTTCTTGAATCTTATCAGTAACTTCATCTAAATTAACATCGATATATTTAGCGAAAAATTCTGGAATTTCAGTATTTTCAATTGATGAACCTAAATTAGCTAAAATTTCATTATAAGCTTCCTTAGTATTTGACCATGCAAAAATTGGAACATCAACTGCGGTATGACCAGTTGAAGTCCAACCAACACCAGCTTGTTTTGAAACAAGATGACCAATATCAACCAAGATTGATTTTGATTCTAATAATTCATTAACTTCTTCATCAGTAACATTATTTAATTTAAAAGCATCTTGTAAAATATCTTTTTTCAAAAACCCAGCTTTATCATCACCTTCATATTCTTTCAATAATTCAATAGCTTTTTCAGTTGACATTGTAGCGTTTAATAAAACATCTGGATAATAATCATAAACATTATCAATACCTAAAGCATAACCACCGGTTTCATGATCCGAAGTTGAAACAACAATAGTTTCAGTATCTAATGAAGAAACCCTATCAATAACAGCTTTCCAAGTTTCATCATATTCAATAACATCTCTTGCATGAGCAACTGGATCATTTGAATGACCAGCATGATCAATTCTTGCACCTTCTAATAACAAAACAAAACCTTCTTCTTGATCTTTTGTTGCTTCAATTAAAGTATTTAAAGCTAATAAAGATAATTCTTTTAAACTTGGAACTTCTTCATTAATTCTATCAATTTCATAAGGTAATTTATCAGCACCAAAGATACCTAATAATGGTAATTTTGGTTCAACACCATTACCCAAGTTATAAGTATCAAATTCAGTTCTATTACCAATATAAGTCCAACCATCTTCTTGGGCTTTTGCAATATAATCAACACCATCTTTTCTTTTACCTTTGGAACCATATTGAGTTTGATTTTCACCATGTAAATATTGACGACCACCACCAAGAACAACATCAATAACTTGACCTAAAGGATGACCATAACCTAATTGTTGTTCCGCAATTAAGTCCAATGATTTTCTTGATAAGGCATGAGTATTTGGAGTACAAATTGTAGCATCTTGAACAAAAGTTGAAGAAACAATACCAGTTTTATAATTTTTCAATTTAGCACCTTCATAAAAAGTACCTTTTGGAGTACCATCGGAATCAACAGAAATAGCACCGTTATAAGTTTTGAAAGCTTCAGCAATAGCAGAACCAGCAGCAGCAGAATCCGTGACTAATTGAGAAGAAGATTTAGTTCTAACAGAACCAATTAAATAATTTTCTAAATGTAAAACAGATTGTTCATTTGTTAAATTATCTCTAGTTTGTTTAAATTGTCTTGCAGCAGTGATACCAGATTGACCTAATCCATCAGAGACTAAGAAGATGATGTTTTTCTTGTCATCATATTTGACTGGTAAAGCAGCGATGATGGCTGCGAATAATAAGTGTAGGACAACAGTTGGTAATCTCATTGTGTGTGATGAATTGATCAACTAATAACTATAATGATATATGATATATCAAGATACTCCGGAGTATTTATACTTGTATTCAATACCTATATCTCGGAGTTGATGGTAGTCCATGTGGGTGATCTTAATCTCGTAATTGTGTAAATGTTCAAATTGGCTGCTTTGATTGACCTCGTGTGGATGATTGAACACAAAGACGATTTAAGCATTGGACAGACACTAAGCAGCTAGGCGGTTAAGCATTGGCAACCAACACCAACAACAACATCACCATTATCAACAAACCATACCTTCTACCTATCCCTTCTACCATCCACTATTCCCCAATGGTTTCAATGACCAACCAAACAACAACTGAACTTCAACAAAGTAAACAAATCAAAAAGTAAAATTAATTAACCGCTGTAATAATACTACCACCGCTGACGTAATCACCCACCCAATAAATAAATACAAATACCAAGACTCTTTGAATTCTTGGTATTTTATACTCTTGTTGACTCCACGTGTATTAGGATTAGAAAAGAAAGAGTATGATACAAGAGATATGAGATTGGGATTAAGAGATATAGTGTGTTGAAGATATGTTTATGGTTATGGTTTAGTGTATATCTTGTAATTGATAAATGTATTTAATGTATTGTGACTGATGCGCAGGGTCTTTTTTTGTCTTCATTCTCCGGGGATGGATAGAACTTAAATCTTATAGATAGAGGCTTCTCGGATTATATAAGTATCTACACGTGTATAATAAGTTATACATGCATCTCATTTAAACAATTCTTTAAAAAAATCTTCAAACGATGAATACATTTCCACATTAGGAATACCATCATTATTTAATCCACGTTCATCACTTAACCTAAAACCATCATTACTATATTCATGATTAACTTCATCATGTAATGGATTATGTAAATGTTCATTATTATCATGATTTGTCTTTTCTAATATTTCCTTAATAATTTTACCAACATCCATTGTACATCTATTTTGATCTTCTCCAATTTGATTTAATCTCCAATATATCTTTGTTATATTATTATTACATAATTTTTGTTCATCTGGGGTTAATTTATTCATTAATTCCATCATTTTAAAACATGTATAAATTAATTGATTCATTAAATAGTTAGGTGATCCTTTAATCAAGATATGATCTAATTTAATAAATTTATCAATCAATTCAAATAAATATGTTTTAATCCTTGTTGTATAATCTTGTTTGGGATATATTGATTGTAATTTTTCTAAAAAACATATATGAAAATAATCATAACAAAATTTTAAAATTTGTGAAAAATCTTCATCAATTATCTTTTGGTTTGATAATTTCCATGATTTAAATTCTATGATCTCTAAATCATCTTTTATATCTTGACCCAATTGAATTAAATATTCTTCATCATTAATCAACCCAAAACATTTTTGTAAAAAACCTAATTCAATAAATTTAATTTCATCTTCTAATTTAACCTCAGGAAATTTTAATATCAATTCACAATACTTCAAAAATTCATCATTAATCAATAAATCCATTCCAAACCCTAAACATATCCCAAAATGACAACAACATAATGCATTCCAAATTCTTAAATGAAATAAATCTAAATCTAAATATTCTCCAATATCAATCCTTTCTTTAATTTTATTAAATTTAAAATGTTTCATAATTAATTTTAATACATGACCACTTAGGATCCAATAATCCCATTGTTTTTGTTCCTCACCACTCTGCATACTCTTTGTCCTTACAACTTGATAACTACATAAATAAACCATTCCTTCTAAATCATGATCAGTTAAATCATCATTATATAACATACTTAATCCAATAAGATCTTTAACACTTTGGAAAACTAAAGATTGGAAATAATCTTCATTTGGGATGAAAATTTCTTTATGATCAAAACTTAGTGAAATTAATATGAATACTAGGGTTATGAATGGGTTTTGTTGGGTATAATTATGATCTATTTGGGTTAATCCACCTGGTATTATCCAATAATGAGCTTTTGTAAGGAAATTGTTTGATAATGATAGACATATTTCTTGGTTTGGTTTATAAATTTTATTTAAAATTTCTAATGATTTTGAATGGAAGGAGTTTGTTGAGGGTTGGGTTGTTGTTGTTAAGGGTTTAGAAATTTGAGAGATTAGTTTGAATGGTGATATTTCAATTGATTTATGTGTTTTTGATGGTTTTGGTTTTGGGTTAGATGTTGGAGTTTGTATATTTAAATGATCCATAATTAAATTTAATTTTTTATTAACATCATTCAATTCAGAATTCTCATTTTTCAATTCAATTGAATCTTTATCTTGATCAAGTTGATTAATAGATCCCTCTCCAGTTAATGAACATTCTAATTTTAATATATTACACCTATAACATTTTTTTTCAAATTTATTAAAATCACATCTTGTTTTTAATTTTCTACATGTTGTACAACTAAATGTTTTTCTTTTTCTTTTTGGTTTGGGTGTATTTGATTCATTTGATAAAGATCTCTTGGTTGTGTCTATTGGTGTTGGTGTTGATGTGTTTGATCCTGGGGTGCCATTGGTTTCATTGTTTTGTTCACTCATTGTTTATTACTCAAATTTTATTGTTTAGTACTAATCAATTGTTATTCCTTAAACCGTCGGATTAAACAAAAAAATAAATCAGTTTAAAAATTTAGAATTCGCGATAAAATTATAAAAATTGAATTTTTGAATTTATGATTTGTACAAGCTGAATATCATCAATATGGATATTGGCTAAAATTAAAGTTTTAAAAGTAACTGATTCATCTGTTAAAAACTATTTTTTTGATTTCTTCCAGTTCTAGATATTAGTTCTGATCTATTTTGGGATAGAACAATTAAAGTTCTATCTCAGTATTAAGGTCTAAAGGATAATTCATAATTTTTTTTTAATCTTTGTTAATTAACCTAAAATTATGATACTGTTTTATAGTTTTAAGTGTAAAATTTATCAGGCTTTATAGCATTGATAAGAATATTGATCTTTTTTAGATTGCTGAAAATATCTATATAAATTAGTTCAATGCTTTTAATTTCACCTTCATTTGGAATTGATTTGTTATGAGTTTGAAAAAGACTGCATACAATCTTTTTTATATTGAAGTTTTAATAAACAATTTTTTTGATAAACAATGATATCTGTAGGAATTCGAATTAATCATGTGTTTCAAAGTTAATTACTACTATCTACACAGCCTTACCTTATGGAAAACAACAGATCTTTTATATATTAAGTTCATACGTACCTATTTTATTAATTAAAACCAGTAACAATATCAAAACTCTTATAAAGGATTAAAACTTGATTAATTTGAACATTATACTATTATAACTTTTCAGTACAATTCCAATGATTGAACAAATTAAAATTTTGCTTGATAATAGCAAAAAAACAACAAAACAACATTAATTTATAAACAATGTTTATCCCAAATGTTAGAATGCGAAGAGTAACATAGGAATCATAAGTGACACGCAACACACACATTAAAATTGAAAGTTGAATGTAAAAGGAATGTCTAATTGATTGAATAAATTTTGTTTGTTGAGATTTTTTTAAGGGGCTGGTTTAGCTAATGATTATATAATCAACAATCTACAATATATAGGTACAATATTATTCATTTCATGAATTATAATATAAGTTTAAAGTATTTACAACCAATGATAATTGACAGTATATTCAGTACAAGGAGCAAAAACAGTACCGACAACACGAGAATTTTCATCAACATCAGGGAATGGTGTGACACATCTTGATCTTTCAGAATGAAAATCACCTTCAACCTTCAACACGTTTGAAAACTTGAGCTGGTGAACCAATATCTGAAGTAATTGCATCAGTCACATGGAAAAGTTGTTTGAGATGATATACATATGTTTCATGATAAATCCAAACAGTATGATTAGCATTTTTAATAAGTTCCCTAACAGAAGTACTAGATGGATGTAAGTTGCAATAAATAGTTAAAACATCATGTTCAGGTGGGTTTCTTATTCTTTTAGTAAAATCAGCAAAAGTACCAAAATAAATCTTTATCAATTCTTTCATATCATCACCATTTGGTGTACCATTATTAAGAGAATTAAGACATTTATCTAAAGTAGCTTGAGGATAATCTAAAAGTGGAAGCCTGTAAACAGCATCATCATGAATGTATTGAGGTTGTAAAGAAATGTAACGTGCAATCTCAAACTTAACTCTATCAAAAGAGTATTGTTCAGGGAAATAGTAACCAATTTCACAATCATTTAAGAAATCATAATTGACAAGGGAATCTTCATCTTCATCACCAATAACATCATCTAAATGTTTAGCAGCATTTGAAGCATTATTAAGCATACCATAAACTTGACACCCAGGGAAACGAATTTTACCAGGACCAATCTCAGTTTTAAAGTCACCAATACTTGATAACATTGTATTCATTGTTATAGGAAGTGAAAATTGCTTTTCGACGATCCATTCAAAACCAAGGACATGATATTCAAAAATCGTTTTAGAAGTTGTATAAATTTGACGAGCAGCATGAATGAACGATAAAGCCAAAGTAATTGATTTAATACGATGATAAAGTTGAGTTCTGTTTGTAGAAATTGATAAGGAAGTTATTGAACTTAGGAAAGGGGTTGCCACATAGTAAGGGAAATCATCACGGATGGAAAATTTTGTGGATCTGGATGTGTAATCATAGTTATTATCTTCATTCAACATGTTGTTAATTTGATTTAAATCCAATTGTCAATGTATTGATCGATCAATTAACATATATAGTTGAAGGAGGAAGTATTTGGCATTTGAATTTTTTTTTTGTACCCGTAATCAAGTAAGGGGTGTAATGTAACTTTCAGGCGCTTTCGAACTTTCAAATCCGGATATTCAAAACCATTTTTATATATGGATGACTTTGGTTTGAATCAAATGTATAGCTAGCATCGGTCTAATTGTATTTCTACTTCAATTTGATCTCATGATGATAGAGTATGTATCTAGCCTCCATTTAAAACTAGGGTAAGATCTATTCACACTGTACAGTACTCACCATTCACCATCACAAATGTTTAGAATGTATTAGCTACATCATCAAACATTAAAGAATATATAATAATACCTGTGATGGAACACTCCATCTACATTGAAGTTTGTACTAACCCCAATTGATAACTAAATACCCATCCCCCATAATTTTGACACATTCAATTGAACAATACCTAAATTCTTAACGGACGTTAATCTTCTCGGGAATTATTCCCAATTAGGTAATGATCCGGAATAATTTTGGTGATAACGAGATAATCTAACGTCCTTCATTGTTAAACTATACGTTAAACTAATTGTATTGTTCTCAGTTTTACTAGAGGATCATTAGCATGAAACTATTATGGGAAAAGTATATAGGGAAGCGTTATTGTCTTTATATTTATTTGAATAATCATGGTTTCTTGAGCTAGTTCAAATCATAGAGAACCAAACAAAGATGCATTTCAAATTTTTGATTCCAATTGCACTGGCTACAATATTGGCTTTCAATGGTGCAATACAAGCTGCACCTGTTCCACAGAATATTTCTGAAAGTATTATCGATGAGAATACTCCAACTGTTAGCAATGCTACTACAATCTCAAATCAGACAATTGAGGAAACAGCTACACCTGTTAGTTCGTTGTTGGATGATGAAAACTCTCATTATATGAATGCTGAGAAAGATAATAACGAAACCAAAAAGAAGAAAAAAAAATCTAAAGGTTTACACGTTGTTTCAATAGTTTTCATATCTCTTCTTTGCCCCGTTGTTGGTATCTGGCTCTACATTGGCTTTTTGAATATATCAAAAGAATATTCCAGAAAACGGTATCAGAATTTTCTTGAAATGACTAAGTACATCAAAAGAGATGTCAAGGGAAAGGGTCAACCATGGTCTACTTATTTAAGACGGGTTATTTTCAATTGGAAAACTTTAGGTATTCTAATCATTGGTATTCCTTATATACCGTGAGTATTTATTCAAAAGATTAATATTAATGTGTGTCAGATTTACTAACTTCTCAATAATATAATTAGATTTGGCATTGTTACGGGATTAGGTTTGAGTTTGGCTGGTTTAGTAATATTAATATGGAATATCTTCAAATATTTGTTTATTTGGCCAATAATGGCAATATTCAACTTTGGTGTGGTTAAAAAATTCTTCGCTACACTTGCAACTCCATTCAAAATCGATGAATACCCACCACCTCATGAGTCAAACAATGGAAACAACTCCAATGAAACAACTACAGCCAAAGGTTCAGATGAAGTGCAAGGTAACATTGTCAAAAGATCACAAGTTGAACAATATATATTTGATGAAGGAAAGTTATTCGAAACAGCAAATAGTATTTTTTCACCAGAGTTCCAATGTTGTGAAGAATTGACAGGAGATGCCTTATTTGAGAAGTACCCTGATCATGCATCGAAACGAGAACCATGCCCCATATGTCTTGAAAGCTTACATTCAAACGACTTGTTGTTGTTGTTACCTTGTAATCATGTTTACCATCGTGCTTGTTTACATGATTTTAAAAGAAGCTTACAAACAGCAAATTTAAATCAAGTTATTATGGTTAGATGTCCAACATGTCAGTTGAATCTTGTCAGGTTGTATCAATATTATATTGATCATGGGTTAGATTTCAAAGAGGTTAAATTTGACAATAGAGCCTGAATAAACTCAGCACTTTTCAGTTATATTTGATTCTCCGTTGTGAATGCAAGGAGTTAATCAATATATAAAACGATATATTTACGATCTTTCAAATTGATCATTGAAGTTTATTAGTTTGAAGAAAAACCTTCATTTGGAATTGATCTTTGCTATAAGTTTGAATAAAACCATTCAATCTTTTTTATATTGAATTCAATAAACTTTTTTTTTTGATAAACAAATTAGGTGTAATTAATTGTAAGAATATACACTACATTCAAACGTTTTGGAAAACAACAGATCTTTTATATAATAAGTTTATACGTACCTATTTTATTAATTAAAACCAGTAACAATATCAAAACTTTTATAAAAGATTATCTCATGAATCTGAATTTATTATATATGGGATATGGGATCAAATAATAATATTTTCACATTAATTTTAATTGATAACTTAAATACAACCAATAATGATGAATCCAAATTAACAATTTCTTTCCAAAAAATAAAATTCATCATGGTAACTGGTAACTGCAAGGATGAAACATCTTTGCTTGGATCTTGAATCATAGATGAAAAAGCTTAATATTCAACAAAGATGTCTTAAGTAAGACATTGCAATCTGACTGTAACTAATTAAAACTAGTTCATAACTTTCAAAAAAACACTTAATCGCAAAATGCGTTATACTTAAAGATGCGTTATACTTAAAGTGCAATTTTAACTGATAAAATTATTTCGTTTGTTGTTATTTTAATTTAATTTTCAAGAAGCGTCTATGATTACCTAATGATTATATAATCACCGCCCATAATATTATAAGTGTAAATTATCAACAAAAGATGGTATGTATTAGACATAGACTCTATGGAATTCATACTCTAGATTCACTTGATTTTATATAGTTAGTAAATAGCTGTGTAAGTGATTATACGTCTATTTATTATATTTGCTTACATAACACACTATAATTCTACACATACACCACATATACAACTCAAATACAAGTAATATTAACCAAGGGTGAGTTTGTCTTAGTTGGTATAGTGTCCATGGAGCACAAAGACCACAGAGACAACATGGCAACACCCTTGGTTCGATTCTCATTGAATGAATCAATTAAACAGCCAATTACACAATCAATTGAGTTGTTTAAATGAGAATTAAAAGCTTAAAAAAAATTCTCATATTGTACATACCAAAAGTACAAAAACATCATATGCGCGAATATCATGAGTGCATATAAAAACCCTTCATGAAATCAAATCATGAAAAACTCAAATCTTCTCATGACTTTGAGAGATTTAAATCTGCAGTTGTTGCACTGCTACATTATCAGTTGCTGGTTACTGGTTGCTATACAGCGGATCCATAATGACACTGGATTCTGTTGGTATGGGCTGCTTGGTTGGTGGTTGTTAGGAACCAATTGCTCGGATCTATACTTAGATTAAACTTAATACATATTATATATTATAAATAAATTGTAGTATATATATATGATACCTGTAGTATATAAGATATATTATCCATGACTTTTTTTATCACTCTAAGTAATTTCTTGATCCTCCATCTTAGTGTCAATTAGTTGATATATTATATATATGTATCTGGATTCTGGATCAATATAACATGTACTTCAATTCCATAATTTCTGGATTTTCAAACTCCACCTTTATCTTATATGAATCCCTTTAAGGTTTTATGTCCTGAGATCATGCTTTTTATCTAGTTCTCAGTACATACCTTATTATATCTCTCAGCAGTGAACAATTCCTAAATTTATCTTCTCAATTAATGTCTTGACGTCTTGACAGCTCTTGATCACTTATTTTTTTCTTGATCATTCCAAATTTTATACTTCTCAATATTCAAACACCATTAACGA